AAGCCTCATGTTTGCTTCCAGCTGCCTGGCTGCCGGCCGCCATCTTGGCTGACAGTTAATTTGCATAATATTATGCTGATTAGCCAATGGGAAGGGTAGCGGTCGTACGCTAATTACCATGTTTCTCTTTTATTAGTGTAGATTAGTGTAGAGAGGCCTGGATTAGTGTAGACTAGAGGCCTGGTGCACGAAATTCATGGGGCGGGGGGGGAATCCCCTCAGCCCAGACTGCACCCTCTCCAATCCGGGACCCCTCGGGGGATGTCTTGACTGCCAGGATCAGGCCTAAACTGACAGTCTGACATCCCTCTCAAAGTCCTGGACCACTGGCTCCTAACCACTTGCCTGCCTGCCTGATCGCCCCTCACTGCCCCACCTGCCGGCCTGGTTGCCCCACACAGCCTGCTGCTCAGTTGTTTGGTCGGCCCTCACTAACCCCCCTGCTGGCCTGGTCGCTCCACGCAGCCTGTTCGGTCAGCCATTCGGTTGCGAAGGTCACTTACGCTTTTATATAGATAGATGATGTAGTATTTGCATTAATTTATGTTTGCATGTAGGCTACAGCAGGGTATACCTACACATCACTTCATTTGTGTGGATTCAGTATAGTGTTCAGTTCATGGCAAATTCAAATTTTGCATTTTGGAACTGTCTGGGATTTTGTTTTTTCAAGGTGTTTTGATCCACAGTTGGTTGAATCTACAATACCAAACCCACAGATATGGAGGGCCGACTATATTTCACATGATAAGGAGTTTATAAGTCTGACTAAAAGAGACCTCAGGTCTCATTTTCAGAGTCTGTTAGAACTCCATGCTCCCTTGCTGTGTGTTTTCTGTCCCAGAGATGGTTATGTCTCCTATGTGTTGATTTCTTAAGTACTTTGAAAACCCTTAGATTACAAATTCTTATATTTTAAGTTTGAATTATTCAGAATGTTCACAGATGAATAATTGTTTATTCTTCCTTTTCTCCTCATTCTTAGCCTAATTCAAACAAATAGCAACCTAAGTGTCTATCAGTAGATGAGTGGATAAAGAAAAGGTGGTGTGTATACATCATGGAATACTCCTCGGCTATAAAAAAAAAAAGAATGAAATCTTGCCATCTGCAACAACATGGATGAACCTAGAGGGCATTGTGTTGAGTGAAATAAGTCAGACAGAGAAAGACAATACCATAACATTTCACCTATATATGAAATCTAAAAAACAATAAATAAGCAGAATAGAAACAAACTCATAGATACAGAGAACATTTTGATGGTTGCTAGATGAGAAGGGGGTTAGGGAAATGAGTGAAAAGGGTGAAGGGATCAAGAAGTGCAATTTGATACTTATAGAATATTCATGGACTATAAAGTAAAGCATAGGAAATATAGTTAATAATCTATAATAATAAAAGGGTAATATGCTAATTAGACCGGACGTCATTCGGACATCCTTCCTGAAGAAGCCAGGCCGGAGGGAAGCCAGCGCAGGTCCCGGGTGCCTGCAGGTGGCCGGAAGAGGGAAGCAGCCTGGGTCCCGGGTGCCGGAGGGAAGCCGGTGCCGGCAGCCAGGGGAAGGAAGGCCTACTCTTGCACGAATTTTCGTGCATCAGGCCTCTGGTATAATAATAAATATGTAGTGTTGGATGGATACTAGATTTATCAGGATCACTTTGTGATATAAATGTCTAATCACTGGGTTGTACATTTGAAACTAATACAATATAGTACATCAATTATAATTGAAAATAAACATTATTTTAAAAAACTGAATAACAACTCTTATTTGTAGAATACTTCCTGGTTTGCATTTGTCTCCTAATTTTCAGGCAGTTTAGAACTTTGATTCCATGTGTTTACAGAATTATGTAGCATATTTTAGTTGTAAAATAATGAGAGTCAAGCTCACTGATTTTTTATTCTTGGTGGATTGATGGGCAAATGGGCCTGGATACCCAGAGGAGACCCAGGTCCTCTATTTATGGAACAACTGTTTAAAAAAGAAGAAAGAAAGAACAGGAAAGGAAATGTGGGAGGGTCAGTCTTCTCCTCCCTTATGCCATCTGTGCGCTGCAGCTGTGGACTGCTTGCGTTACCTCCTCCTTGGGTGAAAGGGAAGTTTAGTCTTTGCAAATTTCAGGCTTTGACCAGTGACTGCTACCTGTTGATTGGGGTTTTGGTGAAACAGACTGGAATTGAGCTCAAATCAGCAATTCATTTAAAATATGTTTAAAATTTTTTCTAATCTATAGATCCACTAAACTTGTAATCATTGAGAGATTGCTGCTTCTGGCAGAACGCTATGTGATCACTATAGAGGTAAGCCTCTCTTTTTTTCTAAAGCAACTGAATCATCCCATTATTAGACTCAATGTGTTAGGTATGTATTTTTGAGATGTTTAACAGTGGCACTGTGAATCTAACTTGTTTGATTTATCTTTTTCAAGGATTTTTACTCTGTTCTACGAACTATTCTACCTCATGGTGCCTCATTTCATGGACATCTTCTAACGCTTAATGTTACTTATGAGTCTACCAAAGATACCTTTACTGTAGAGGTGGGTTTACATTAAGCTTTGTGGCCATTTTCATATTGTCTTACTTTCACAACACTATTGATAAAGATGTATGAGTGACTATTCTAAAAGCTGGTAAACAAATTTAGAATAAAGACCTGAAATGAAAGGGAACTGATGGGGTGTAAACAGACATATAGGCAAATACATAATACAATATCAGGTGGTGGTGAGTATCATCTATACTAATAAAAGGGTAATATGCTAATTAGACCAGACATCTTCCAGACGTCCTTTTGGACAAAGCCACAGTGGCGGGGGCTGAGGCAGAGGTGGTTAGGGGTGACCATGCCGGCAGGGGAGGGCAGGGGTGACCAGGCCGGCAGGGGAGGGCAGTTAGGGGCGACCAGGTCGGCAGGCAGAGGTGGTTAGGGGTGATCAGGCAGGCAGGGGAGCAGTTAGAGGCGATCAGGCCAGCAGGGGAGCAGTTAGGGGCAATTAGGCTGTCAGGCAGAGGTGGTTAGAGGTGATCAGGTCGGCAGGCAGGTTAGGGGTGATCAGGCAGGTAGGCAGAGGAGATTAGGGGCAATCAGGCAGGCAAGGGAGCAGTTAGGGGCATTAGGCAGGCAGGCAGAGTGATTAGGGGTGATCAGGCAGGCAGGCAGGTGAGCGGTCCCAGACATCCCCCGAGGGGCCCCAGGTTGGAGAGGGTGCAGGCCAAGTTGAGTGACACACACACACACACACACACCCTCCCCCTGTGCACGAATTTCGTGCACTGGGCCTCTAGTTAAGAATAAAGGAGAATAAGCTGGTAGAGGTGATGGTTATGGCAGAACACTATGTGATCACTATAGAGGTAATCACACTTTATATAGAGGTGGGCATGGAAGGTCTGAGGTGGTGGCATCTGAACACAGAACTGGATGAGGTAACAGAGAAAGCCTTTTCTGGAGAAGGACATTCCAAACAAAGGGCAGCAGGTGCACAGGCCCTGAGGTGGGGGTTTGCTTGGCTTGTTCATGACAAGCAAGGTGGCTGGAATGACAGTGAGAAAGGGAAAGAAAGAATGGAAGACCTGCTGTGGAAGAAGGACTTGAGATTTTATTCCATGTGTGATGAGGGGGTTGGAGGAGGGAATAGAACTTTTACAGCACAAGGGAAGCCTCTCAAGGGCAGGGATTCTTGTCTTTGGTTTTTTTGCTGTTCTTGGCTTTTAGAACAGTGCCCAGTACATGGTAGATGCTCACTAACAGTTGTTTAAATGAACGAATAAATGCATTACAATGGTTTAATTTTATTTTACAGGCTCACAGTAATGAAACCATAGGGAGTGTCCGGTGGAAGATAGCCAAGCAGTTGTGCTGTCCTGTGGATAATATACAGATATTTACAAATGATAGTCTGGTAGGTTTAAATAAACTGTGGCCCTTTAGCCTGATACTACTACTATCCTCTTCCTTTTCCTCTCAGTAATTAAGAAACCTCTTTTTGCAGCTGACAGTAAATAAAGATCAAAAGTTACTCCACCAGCTGGGCTTTTCTGATGAACAGATGCTTACGGTGAAAACTTCAGGCAGCGGGACCCCATCCGGGAGCTCCGCAGATTCCTCCACCAGCTCCAGCAGCAGCAGCAGTGGAGTTTTTAGTTCATCATATGCCATGGAGCAGGTATTGAGTGATAAATCATTTCTTTTTTAAAACAGGATTTTAATATCTTTGTCTTCAGCCCATATAGATTTGGATGATTGTGTCCTTTCCTCTCAGACAAATCCTGACTCTTCAGGAATGTATCCCTGGGAAGCACTGGGCATCATTGGGAGGAGATACATAATTTATCAATCTTCTGGACCACAGACTCTTCTGAGTCCTGAAGCATTCTGTCTGGCCACTTCTGCTGCTCCTCTCATCTACCTCTCTGCATTGAGTCATTGATTTTCCCATTAGCAGTCAAACATGCTGTGTTATTTCTATCACCTTAAAAAAAAAAGCTCTCTCTTCCCCCAGTTTCACCTTCAGTTCCTGCCCTATTCTCTCCTCCCCAGATCAGCAAAGCTTCTTGATGAAAGAGTTCTTTGAACTCTTTTGCCATCCTCTTTTTATGCTCTTTTCAAGGTTATCTCTTACTTCGGCCTCTCAGTCCTCATCTTCTTGACCTTTCAGCGGAGTTGTTACATGTGATCACTTCCCCTTGAAATATTTTCTTCACTTGGCTTTCAGGTCTTTGTGTGACTGTATGTTTTTAACTTAGCATAATCTTGCTATAGATGTCAAAGAATCCTTCAAGGTTAGTATTAGTACTGTGGATTTTTTTAAAAATAACTAGACAGTACCTATATATAGCAAGAATTTAAGAAAAAAATTTCATTCAGAAATGGTATTATGACAGTTAATTAGCAACAGAAACAGTGTATGTAGCATCTTCAAGTTTAATATATTATTTCATATTTATCCTGAATTATTACAAATCTTCACCTATATAAATACATTTTGGGGATGTCTAGTTTCTTATTCCTTTAATCACATCTGAGTCTCTTCTATGCATGTATATTCTTTTCCTACCTTTAGAAAAATCACTTAGATTACACATATATCTATGTATTGTGTGTGAGCATATGTGTTTGTGTATATATCTATACTAATAAAAGGGTAATATGCTAATTAGACCCGGTGACCAGCCATCTTCCAGATGTCAGACTTCCTTCCGGACAAAGCCACGGTGTTAGGGGCCAAGGCAGAGGCGGTTAGGGGCAATCAGGCCAGCAGGGCAGGGCAGTTGGGAGCTATCAGGCCGACAGGGGCGGGCAGTTGGGGGCCATCAGGCTGACAGGAGAGGGCAGTTGGGGGCCATCAGGCCGGCAGGGGAGCGGTTAGGAGCTAGCAGTCCTGGATTGTGAGAGAGATGTCAGACTGCCAGTTTAGGGATTGGGCCTAAACCAGCAGTTGGACATCCCCTGAGGGGTCCCAGATTGAGAGGGTGCAGGCCGGGCTGAGAGACACCACCCTCCGTGTGCCAATTTCGTGCATTGGGCCTCTAATATGACTTTCATTTTGCTTTTAAGTCACTCATTGGCTTATTTCCTCCTGATGAGCTCTTGGTCAGCTTTCAGTGGTGCCCACTCTCCATTCTAGTAATTACACCTACCTTTGTTTTATCTCTCTCCTTCTGCCTACCATTGGGCACCTGAGCCCCCACCAGCAGGTGGGTATGAGAGGAGAGCCCAGGTAGTAAGCACACCAGAAGGTGGGAGATCTCTGACTGTTCCCATGTGCGCTTCATGCAGATGATCACTGTGCTCCCCTCCAGTTTCGCAGTGACCAGGTTTCAGAACTAATATTTGTATTGTACGTTTGATTAAAAAAAGATAATTCTTTTGTAAATTTGTATTTACATTTGCCTTTTTTCCCTCAGGAGAAATCCCTTCCTGGTGTTGTGATGGCACTTGTGTGTAATGTATTTGACATGCTTTACCAGCTTGCCAATCTAGAGGAGCCAAGGTAAATATAAATATAGGGAACCAAGAAACTTTTCCCTTGAAATGGATTTACGTCTAATTCTAAATGACTCTGTTATTGAAACTGTGATTTATCTGAAAAAATTTCAAATTTTGAAAAATTTCAGGATAACTCTACGAGTACGGAAGCTTCTGCTCTTAATACCCACTGATCCAGCCATTCAGGAAGCCCTTGACCAACTGGATTCTTTAGGAAGAAAGGTATGGGTATCTAGGGGGGTTAATTAACTGTCATGGAATTTTATATCATGATTCAGTGAAAATACAACACCAAATCACACTACAATCATTTGATACCTTTTTCTTAATGATTTTTCTTCTTTTGAAAAATACTTTCTCTGTAAATGGAAATCAGAACTTCGTGTTGGCTTTTAAAGTATCAAGATGGAGTGAAAAATTATGTCAGATTTTAAAACCAGAAGAGTCTTTAATATCATCTACTTCTACCTTCATGATATATGTTAGGAAACCAAAGCCCAGAGAGAATGGAGTACCAGGCTTAGACTCTGGCTCCGATTCTTCTCTCATGATGCTTTTCTGATTGTGATTTGGTTATCTTTTCAGTTTCTCACTGTTGATACATAAAATTCATTTTATTTAGTTTTTAGGATATCGTTCCATTATGTATATATTGAAATTGTGTTTAATCCCTAACATTGTTTATGTTCTCAGAATAAATTAATTTATAACAAAGTTGTTAGAATTAAGTTATGAATTTTATATTTAAGGGGTTGACATTTAGACAACTTAATCTTGTCATATTTGGCTTATATACTAGCTTGATGGAGAAGAGAACTAATGTAATAAAACATCACTAGTACTAGTTCAAAAAATTCTCAAAACTACCACTTTTGCAATCTTATAACTTCATTATCAGTATTTAGAGGTACAAGTTTTAAAAACACAAAACAAATTAAGATGACCTTGTTGATGTTGTTTAAAATAGGATTGTCATGCTGTTGAGCATGTATAGTTTGTGAGATAGAATTGGTGTCTTATTAATAACTGTAGAGCTCATGTGGTTTTATGAGATTAAGTTTTAGAAAATATCATTGGTGTGGATTATATTTAAAAGGAAAAGACTATCAGAATGTATACAGATATGTTTCTTTTTAATTTGTGCTTTTAAGACATACATTCTCTTTTTCATTCTCTTAACTTAGAAAACATTGCTGTCTGAAACAAGCTCTCAGTCTTCAAAATCTCCATCCCTCTCTTCAAAGCAGCAGCACCAGCCAAGCGCCAGCTCAATTCTAGAGAGTCTCTTTCGATCTTTTGCTCCAGGAATGTCCACCTTTCGAGTGCTTTACAACTTAGAAGTAAGAAACCTATTTCTTTGCACTTCGTTTTGGTTTGTAGAATCATGCTTTCTGATGACAGAAACACGTTAACAGGTTTACTCTGTTAAAACTTAGTTTTTAAAAAGTACAAAATAGAATATAAATGGAAATATTTTGGGTTTTGCCTTTGTAAATGCTCAACTTTTTTCATTTTCTGCCTATGTGCATTGTTATACTTGCAAAATAGCATCTAAATAAATAATTAGGAAGCTTTATCTATTAAAATGTATCTTTACCTTCCTCTAGAAGTTCTGTAATTATGTATAATGCCAGTTATTAATCCTGAGCCTTCTTGCTATTAAATGCATTTTCTTTTTAAAAAACTGTTGTAATTGTTTACATTAATGCAGCTTTATGAGGAATTTGTCAGAAGACATGTTAACATGATTATTTCAAGGTTATAAAAAAACCGTTAGAAGAATTTGAGCAAAAGAATATTTTTATTACCCTCCTCCTCCAAAGTGGCTTTAAACAAGTAGATTTAGTTCAGTAAACATTTACTAATTACTTACCATCTACAAGTTATTGTGATAGTTAGGGGGTCAGGGTTGGAAAGACAAGATATTTGCTCCCAGGTCTTATGAGTAAGACATAGGAAGAGGCTGGATATGCTGAGTCTTGAAAGCCAAGCATTAACAAAGCGATTTGGGAGAGTGACCAGGGGACCAGGTGGAAACAGTCTTGCTCCTGGAGGGTCAGCGATCGGACCCTTGTGCATGTTAGGTCTGGAGAAAATAAACCCCTAGATGATCTTGCTTTGACCTAGGAAATTTTATCCAGGCAGTTCGTTATTAAAGAATCCATAGCACTACCTAAGCAGCCTTAATTATCAAATTAATGTTGAGTAGATTTTGAGTGATGATAAAGGCCATAATTACTAATGGGTACCTGGTTGGACATTTTTTCCAAGTTTTATTTCATCTGACAATCTAATTTGGAGTATATAATTAGATTCATTCATTTTATGGTCTACTTGTTGCTTATATGTTCAAACTGTGGTAACATTTCACATTTGCCTTAAAATAATTACTCTTGTCAAAAGATGTGTTGGATTCAAAAGTAGAAAATACTTAGTGAATATTTAAAAAATAAAGCATACCTTTATTTGATGTGGGCATTTAAAATAGGTAGACTATCCCAAAACAGAAAATTGCTTAGAAATTCTTGGCCAATTTAAGCTTATAAATTTTGAACTTTCCACTGCTGCCAGATTTGTCTTTTGCTTTCAAATGATTGTCTCAAAAGTTAAGGTATAAATCTTAACACCCACATTTGAGAGCACCTAGAAAAGCAAAATGACCCAACAGTGGGTCTAGCTTGTATTTCAGCTACCTAGATGGCAGTATCTTAGAGCCAAAGGACTCAGTAGCAAAATACCTCCAGTACAATTTTAGGACTTCTGTTAACTGGGATTCCTTTGGTAGGTTTTCTTTTGCTTTAGACAACACAAAACATTTGGAAAACATAACACTCCCAAAAGCACTTATTTTTACTATTAGAAAGATTCAGTTCCTTCCATTTTGACCTTTAACTTATGTTTGCCTACTAAGAAACTTCTTAGTGGATCTTCCAAATACCCATTGATTTGGAAAAACATTTTATTTTCACTGAATTATTGTCCATTAAACATGGGGAGTGTGTGCATGTGGCTATCAGCACTCTCTCATAGAAGAATTAGAGTCACAGAGGGTTTCCATTTTCCTGTATAAGGCTCATGAATCAGGGTTGATGAAACTGTTTCCCAAAGAGCAACTCAGGAGGAAAGCATTTTAAAAATAAAAAATCTCACACTAAAAATCTAAGCTCATAGAACCCCATAGGTTCATAGGAGCAGATTATTTTTTTTTAGAATAGGAAAGGATCTTGAATTACATCTAGTTTAAAACCTTGAAGAAATTGAGACAATGAGTCTTTATTTAAAATTTTAAATTATAATAACTAAACAAGTCAGCTCTTTATGCTTTGTGCCTTGTGCTTATGCTAAGCACCTTAAGCTTGCGTTATCTTATTTAATCCAAACAATCCTCTGGTAAAGGTAATTATTATCCCAATTTAGCTGATGAGAAAACTGAGGCAAAAGGAAAACTTACATGCTTGAGATTATTTCTGTGAAATAATTCTCTTGTCATACCAAAATATTCAGTTAAGCTTTTCTTTAGGTAGGTATAAGAGTGTTAAAAAGGGGCATGGATATTAAAGTGAGATACATCTGGATTTAAATTCTAACCATGTGACCTTGGATGGGAGGTCACTAAACCTCTCAGGTCACAGTCTTTACCTATAAAATTAAATACTGTATATATGCCATGCATAGTGAAATGAGATAATGCATGTTAAGTATCTCATCGTATACCTAGATGCTCAATAAGTAGGAACAAGTTAGAATCATTAGTGGGAACTCATCTAGCACTTTTAGTAAATGGGCTGTTTTATAAAACATATACTTTTTTTAAAAAATATAAATTTTTTGTTATTGATTTCAGAGAGAAAGGGAGAGGGAGAGAGAGATAGAAACATCAATGATGAGAGAGAATCATTGATCGGTTGCCACACTGGGGATCGAGCCCACTATCCAGGCATGTGCCCTGACCAGGAATTGAACCCATGACCTCCCGGTTCATAGGTCGATGCTCAACCACTGAACTACACCAGCCAGGCTTAACTTACATACTTTTTAAATAACATATCTAGCATGTCATCTGTTCTTATCTAAGCCTGAGAGACAGAGACAGTCACATTTGCTGGTTTTATGAAAAGAGAGCACATCAGCTTTCTTCAAAACAGGTTTTTCTTGCTAAGTAAATAGAACTTGGAAAATGATTATTTATTTGTGAAACATCAGCCTCCTTATACTTCTGGGTGGGAAAATGGCATGCAGCATTTAAAGAGATTGTGACTTGAGTTGTGTGATTATTTAGTAAAGAAATAATTTCTGCTGGAAATGTTGGGATGATTAATTGTGCTTATCTATTTCCAAGGTTCTAAGCTCCAAACTCATGCCAACAGCTGATGATGACATGGCAAGAAACTGTGCAAAATCCTTCTGTGAGAACTTCCTCAAAGCAGGAGGTTTGAGGTTAGTGTCCCAGTATAATGTTACATGAATTGCAGAAAATTATTCTATTCTTTTTATTAACTTCTCTTGCCAAGCCTTGCTTATTCCTACAAGGTATTATGTGAAGCATTATGAGAGTTTTAATAAGAAGGAATGATGTCTCAGCCTTTGGAATATTTTAATTTATTTTATGATTCTTAATTATTTAAAAAACTTAGAGAAGCATGTCTCTTTCCGCTCTGGTAGTGGGGGATTCTCAGGAAGAGGAAAGGTGAAGAGGCTAAGTTGGTTTCTGTTAATTCCCACATCCATTTATGCTAAGGTGAATTTGATTCCCAGTAGTCCACGTTGTGGAAGGCATTAGTTCTGAGGCTGCAAAGATAAATTAGGTATTATCCCTGCCCTTAAGAGGCTCATCGTTTAACAGTTATTATAACTATTAATACAAAAGCTTATAAAAATCACTTTAGTGGAATGGAGGTTATGAAAGAAACTAGTGGTTAAATTGACTAAATTTGGTTGGGGTCATAGATTAGGAAATGCTTCACTGAAAGTGACATTTGAGTTGGGAGTTGTGAAACCAGTAGTCACTGTGGTCATTCCCTAGGTAAACAAGGAGGGCAGGGGCACTCTGAGCCAGAGGTGGGGGGCAAGGAATGAATGAAGCACTGAAGTACATGGCCCCTCTTGGGAATATAGTTGCCAGGTGAGGCTAATGCCAAGGGTAAGGGAGAGAAATATGTAAAGAGTCACATTGAGGAATCCCAACATTGTATTGTAGACCATGGAAAAACAGGAAGTTTATAAACCAGGAATTACCTAGAACAATTACTCTGGCTGCATTGGAGAAGAATGGAAAGTCTTTATGACTAGATATATGACTACGGTAGGAACATTTATAGATTGACCCTATGATTGCTGCTTGAGAAAGAGGATAAATGGTGAATCTCTAGTCCTTATGGGAAGTAAACATGGAAGGAGATGGAAGAAACAGAGGAAGTCAAGAGAAATTAATTTGATTGCATACGAGGTCCCTGTGAGTCATGTGAAGTGGATGGTTTGGATAGGATGCTCTTGAGAGATGTGGAGAATGGCACTAGAGATTTGGGAGAGCCATCAGTGTAATTGCAGCCATTGGGGCATAAGCAGTTGGTAGAGCTGAGTGACAGGAATAAGTCTAGGAAGTAGAATCTGTATGCGATGTCTCTGCTTTACAGTGAGTGACCTAAAGGGGATGACAGTACTTTGATGGGAAGGATAAGAGAAAAGTTGCCCTTTTTTGTTTTGGTTTTAACTTGTAAGAAGACTTGATTCTCTTTGTATGCAGACCAGAAGGGGCTGATGAAAAAGACAAATAAAGATGAAAAGGGGATGATCAATTGAGGGACTGTGTTCTGCAGTTGAAAGATTTGCATTAGGAAGAAGTAGGCATGCAATTTCTTCCAGGAGTGAAAACCAACTTGAAGATAGTTAAAGTTCTGTTCAGAGGCCCTGAGGGGAAGAGAAGTTGGGTGAGACCATGGAGAGATAAAGGGGAGGAGAACTAAAGAGAACTGAAGGAATTCCCAAGCATGTGGAAGGCCTAGTGCACATACAGTTTTATTCTTTGTTCAATATTGTAGAGATGTTCTTGCAACAATTTAATTCAGTTTATTCGGCCAATTACAGAGCTATGGTAATAAAGGCATTTTACTTCTGGTTTATTCTTGTATGTCAGTTAACTTATATGCCAGGCAGTTTTCTAAGCAATGAACAGAGTGGCAAATAGATTAGACCAAAACCCATGTCCTCATGAAGCTTACTGTCTAGAGGGAGAAAGAGACAATAAAGGCAGAAGTAAAAGTAACAGTGTATGTCAGGTGGTTATAAGAGCTGCAGAGAAAAATAAGACAAGAGGGGATGGAGGGAATGGTCAGGGTGACATTTTACAGACATGATGGAGGTATAGAGTGAGACCATGATCTCCTGGGGAAAGCTGTCTACAGGAGCAGCCACCTTAGTGGAACCCACCTGATGGCTGCAGAGACCAGCAGGAGGCCATTCTGTTTGGGGCAGAGTGAGGCAGGCAGCAGAGGGGACATGAGATTATAGACATAGGTCAGGTTATGTAGGATTTTATAGGCTACTGTGAAAATTGCCTTTTTTCTGTAGGAAATAGGAAACCATTGGAGGATTTGTACAGAGGAGGAGTGTCATGATCTGACTTAATCTTGAAAGGATCTCTCTGGTTGATCTCTTGAGACTAGATTTTAGAGGTGGAGCATTAAGAATGGAAGCAGGAAGCCCTAACTGTTTTTGCTCAGTGGATAGAGCATCGGCCTGTGGACTGAAGGGTCCCAGGTTTGATTCCGGTCAAGGGCATGTACCTTGGTTGCAGGCACATCCCCAGAGGGGGTGTGCAGGAAGCAGCTGATAGATGTTTCTCTCTCATCAATGTTTCTAACTCTCTATCCCTCTCCCTTCCTCTCTGTAAAAAATCAATAAAAGTATATTTAAAAAAAAAAAAAAGAATGGAAGCAGGAAGAACAGTTGGGAAGCTTCTGCAGTAATATAGATTGGAGTGGCCATGAAAAAACAAGCTTATTGAATACACCAATTCTGGATATATTTTTGAATTGTTAGTTCACATTAGTAAACTCAGGCCAGTTAGCAAGAAGGTAACTATACAAACATTCCGTGTTGGAGATCCTTCTTTGACTTAACAAGGAGTCTAATTCTAAATGGATGAGAAGGGTTATAGTGATCATAAGAAGTCATTGGGATAGAAATATGTATGGTTCATTTTATATGTAAGGATCTTGTAGGAATTTTGAGTGATGGATAACATTTATTAGCAATTAAATTACAGAAATTTTCTTATGAAAGAAATAGAAGTCTTTAATATCCTGTCTTCTTTCTGTTTTTTGAAGTTTGGTTGTAAATGTCATGCAGAGGGACTCCATCCCATCAGAAGTCGACTATGAAACAAGGCAGGGAGTTTATTCTATCTGTCTACAACTTGCAAGGTATGTCAATATGTTGTGTTAGTCTCACAAGGCAAGACTCGACTCTACTTTTCTCACCAATTCAATTATTTTAAGTAGTATGAAATGAGTTTGAATAAGTCTACCTTTTTATTTCCTTTTAAGATTTTTACTTGTTGGACAAACAATGCCCACGTTATTAGATGAAGACATTGCCAAAGATGGTATAGAGGCACTTTCTTCTCGCCCATTCCGAAACGTTAGCCGGCAGACCAGCAGGCAGATGTCCCTATGTGGTACCCCAGAAAAGTCGTCCTACCGACAGTTGTCAGTGTCTGATAGGTCTTCTATTAGGGTGGAGGAAATCATTCCTGCTGCACGAGTTGCAATACAAGTAAGTGATTTGTGTATTCAAGAATTATTAAGTACCTCCTGTTTAGAAACGACTGGTTGAGGGGCGGGACCATTTGGATATCCTGTATAATAAAAGGGTAATATGCAAATTGACCGAATGGCGGAACGACAGGTCGCTATGACGTGCACTGACCACAGGGAGCGGGCCTAAGCTATCAGTCAGACATCCATCTGTGCCAAGAGCTCCCATGCTAAAGGGTCCCGGACTGCGAGAGGGTGCAGGCTGGGCTGAGCCCCCCCCCCAGTGCACAAATGTTGTGCACCAGGCCTTTAGTATTGAATATTGACATGAATATTAGCTTAAAGGAATTTATGGTAAGAAAGAGACCACTTATGTGGAAATACTATAATTCAAGGTGGAAAATGTCAAGTTTTATAAGAAAACTACAAAGACAAAACATTCTATAGACCTTCAGAGGAAGTGGAATAATTACCTTCACCTGTGGCCATCATGGATGATTTTATGTGGGAGGTGGCATTTAAGGTAGGCCTTGAAGAATAGATTAGGATTAGATATGTAGAGCTAAGTATGGAGAGTTGGAGAGAGGAGAGTCATTCAAAAAAAAAAGGTGGGCGTGAGCAAAGTTAGAGAAAACCAGAGCCTTGTTGGGGGGGGGCGGGGTCACACGGCAGTTCACACAGGCCAAAATGCATTGTGGGGCAGGGGGAAATGGTGAAAACAAAACTGTTGCCAGGTAATTTAAAGCCAGAGCATGGAGATCATAGTCCTTGTTTACAGGTAGCAGAGAGATATGGAAGGTCTTTGAACAGCATGGAAGCATTAAAAAGGTGGTCCTCTAGGTCCGTGGTCGGCAAACTGCGGCTCGCAAGCCACATGCGGCTTTTTGGCCCCTTGAGTGTGGCTCTTCCTAAGCCTTAGGAGTACCCTAATTAAGTTAGTAGCAATGTACCTACCTATATAGTTTAAGTTTAAAAAATTTGGCTCTCAAAAGAAATTTTAATTGTTGTACTGTTGATATTTGGCTCTGTTGACTAATGAGTTTGCCGACCACTACTCTAGGTGATCTTGGGGGGAAAGAATCTCACAAACTGAGACCAGTAGGTCATAGAAGCCAATGGATTGTGTTCCAGTACTGTCTTTTCTTGTAACAAACACTCTTTCCATCCTTCTGTAGACAATGGAAGTAAATGATTTCACTTCCACTGTGGCTTGTTTCATGAGACTGTCGTGGGCTGCTGCTGCAGGACGACTTGACCTTGTTGGGAGTAGCCAACCAATAAAAGAAAGTAATTCTCTGTTTCCTGCTGGAATTCGAAACAGGCTCAGCAGTTCAGGTACTGATTAAAAAGGATAAAGTAATTAGAGCATTGGGCAAGAAATAGCTGTAAGAATCATCTCTGTATAGGTTGCACATTCCTATATGTATGTCATACTTCATTTAAGAAAAAAAATAAACAGTGGGGACACCAAATCAAACAGTTTTTATCTTGCTCAGTGTAAAATGTCATGAGGCCAGTAACTGGCTGTAATAAAAATTCATCTAGGATTCCTACATGGAAAAGTCATTTTCTTGGTTCAGCCACTTATTTCTATTAGACCTTTATAAGTAGCTTTACTTTTCAGCTTCATTTGGTTTCCCTGTTCAATCTATGAGTTTGTGTATACCTCAGTATTGAAAAAAATTTTTAATGTGTGACAGATATATAATAAAGTGCAGAAATATTGACAGGATTTTTACATATTGTAACCCATGTGCATCACGATAAGGAGCATTTTTAACATCCAAGGAAGACTTCCTAATGGCTCCAAAATTGCACTGTTCTGTCACCTGAAATTAGTTTTGCCCCATAAGCTATGTATAAAGCAGTCAGGGTCATATAAAGTGATTAAGTCACTCTTATTTCTTAGACCAAAGTGTCTTCTTGAACTATTTAATTTCACTTGAGGATTCTGGGGGACACATTAAAAGGCTCTTAGAAGATCCACTGGTCCTATAGGACCATAGTAACCTTCTGCTTGCCCCTCTCCAGGAAGCAATTGCAGCTCTGGAAGTGAAGGAGAGCCAGTCGCCCTGCACGCAGGCATCTGTGTGCGCCAGCAGTCCGTGTCCACCAAAGACTCCCTGATTGCTGGCGAGGCTCTGTCTCTCCTGGTTACCTGCCTACAGCTTCGGAGCCAACAGCTGGGTATGCAGGAGGCTTGCTTGGGATTCCTCTCCTTTAGGGAAAGGGGTTTCTGTTGGGAATTATTTACGTGCCTTTATAGATACAAAATCATGTTATAGAAATGAAGAGGGGCACGCTGGCATGTGGAACAGGTAAGTAGAGTGCTAGAGTAGTGAGATTTTGAGCAAGCATTTACTGAGCACCTTCTATATATAAGGTTCCGTAGTGAGTGCTATAAAAAGCAGTATGTTTGCCCTCCAGGAGCTTACTGTCTAGTTGGGGAATTAAAACAACCCAAATTATAGTTCATAAACTATAGAATTAGAATTATATATCAGTAATGACTTCACTTAAAAATTATGAAATTTAAGATTTGCCCTTTTAACTTTATTGTTGGCTTTAGCAAAGTGGGGCTGTTATGAATCAAACTTTTTGTGTTAAAACATTCCAGGGCTCGGTCCTACATCACTGCGGTCTCATCCATTTTCACAGCTTTCAATTTCTACTATATGCTGATACCTAAATTTGGGTCTCCAGCCTGGACTACACCCCTGACATTTCCACTTGGATCTCAAATAGGCTTTCTAGACTTAGCATATACACAACTGAACTATTGATCTGGCCCATATCAGCCGAGAGTTTTCCCAACTTAATTATTTAGCAGTTTTGCTCTGGCCCAAAACCTTGGAGTCATCCTCAATTTTTTTTTCACACCCCACTTCTAAGCTGTTGGCACATCCTCCTTTAAACTATATCTAGATTCTACCTCTTCACTATTATTACCCTCTGATCTGCCATCATCTCTTACTTGGATCACAGCCATTGTACCCTAACTAATCTCCCTGCTTCTACCCTTGCAGTTTATTCTCCACACAGTAAGCAGAGTGGACCTTCTTAAATGTAAGTTAGATCCTATCACTCTTCTGTTTAAAACCTTGCAGTGGCTTCTCAGTTCACACTGAGTAAAAGCCAAATCTTCACTAAGGCCTTCGAGGCCAGACACAATCTGATACCTGTGTGCCTTCACCTTCTCCAGCTCTCCTCACTGACTGTGACTGCTTCAACCACCCTCGCACATTCCTGCCTCAGGGCCCTTGCACTGGCTGCTCCCTCTTCCTGGTATCTTCTTCGGCCATCTATCTACATCGCTCTCTCTTCCTCATTTCCTACAAGTCCTTGCTTAATGTTACTTTTTCAGTGAGACATTCTCTGACCACCTTTAAGAGAAATCACAACACTCCCCTCAAGCTCCAGCACTACCTAAAACCCGCACCTTATTTTTTGCTGTGTCAGTTATCATTTTATAACAAATAATACAATTGATTTACTTGTCATGTTGTCATCACCCCCTCCGCAACTAGGCTGTAAGCTCCATCAGGACAGATTCTTGTCCATTTTGTTCCCTACTCAGTCTCCAGCACCCAAACACTGCCCAGTGCGTAGTAGGCCCTCAATAAATATTTATTTATTCAGGAATAAAGTCTTAAAGTTTCACTTTTAAAAATTGTGCCAATACATATGGGCTCTATTCTTCACTGTTATTACTGATTCAGGCTGCCTGTGATATAGATGTGATCATTATGTATTTACTGTAACACCTAAGTTCATTTTATAATATAGACATATAGAAAAGGTTAGAGATTTGTCACATTGCAGTAGTATTCAAAAGTATTTACTTTGACAAGAATGCTTTTGAAGGTTTATATATGAGAAGTGTGAGTCATGACATACTTTTGAACACAGGCCATAGTACTTAGTTAAATTTTCCTACAATTGTTTAATTTTAGAGGTATTTTCAAATAAAAATGAAAAAAATTATAACTTCTCTTCAAGCTTATCATTATTTAAGTTTGTGGTAGGGTATATTTTATAGTTCACAAGTATTGGTAGTTTATCAACACAAGACATATTTATTCTGTGACTGGTATGTGCAAGGCATTGTACTAAAATGTGAAGGTACAAAGATGACCAAGATGGTCCTGCTCACAGGCATGGAGGCAGTTGTCAAAGGTTTTGAATTTGATTCCATGTAGAAGAGATGAATTTCTGTTATAGTTAAGCTTAAGAAATTATTCAGAATTTTTGAAATTTTGAAAATGTATTTCCTAACTTAATTCCCCCCCCCCCCCACTCCCAATTTTCCTTATTCTTATCATTAGCATCTTTCTATAACTTGCCCTGTGTTGCTGATTTTATCATCGATATTCTGCTTGGATCGCCAAGTGCTGAGGTAAGGATTGTTTACATTACTTCATAAAAAACCCCTTTGGTCCTCTTCTGTCTTTGGCTCTCTGGATACCTGTAACATTGTAGAGAATACAGAAGGAATGACATCTTGTCCTCTCAGGGAATCATACAAAGTGACCGTTGGGACTGCCTGCCCTCCTTTCTATTCCATATCCCTCAAAAAGTTAAGAGACTAGTTCTAAAATTAATTTTTGTTTATTACAAACAAAATATTACAGCCAGTGTTCAACACCCATAGCTGGCAAGGACAGCTGGCATTAAGCATCAACATGTTGGTCAAAATCAAGATCAACTTCAAGCCATGAACTTTCACTAGATTTTATAATTTTGATTGTCTGACATGACCTTGAAAATTAACTTTCCTTATTTTCATTTATATTAAGTTATAAATCTATTGATTAGAATAGAATAATAGAATAGTTTCGGAAATCAGTTCCCAGAACACACTTGTTTTTAATCCTAGTTTATTCAATGTAAACTTTACCATTAATATTGAAATACTCGGACTCTTAGAGTATCCTTCAAAGTGTAGACTTTGAAGGAGAACCATTTTTGAAATGTAGACTTTGAAGGAGAACCATTTTTGAAGCAATCTTTTAAGTGGATGATGGATGTTCTTTGCCACTAATTAATTCCAGATTCGCCGTGTTGCCTGTGATCAACTGTATACTCTTAGTCAGACAGATACTTCAACTCATCCAGATGTACAGAAGCCAAATCAGTTTCTTCTAGGCGTGATTCTCACAGCTCAGCTGCCTCTCTGGTCTCCAACTAGTATTATGAGAGGAGTCAATCAGAGGTACGTGATAAAGATGAGAAAGCTCACATTATACAGAAAGAATAATGAGTTGGGTACTGCTCCCATAAAGTCCACTGTGCATTATTGAGATGACAGAAGAATCTCTCCTCTCCTCTTCTAGCATTTGTGTCTGAAAGAGGGCATTTCAGTGTTTTTCCCCATTCAGGACTGGAGAGTTAGAATAATACCAGGCTTTCTTCTCTGTCACCCCCAGTTCCCGCCTCCATCTCCCACCTCCCCCTTACCTGGTTGGTAAGAGCCTGAAACAATTCAAGCCAGATTACTGTGTAAAGGTCACAGTGCTCATGTCTTCTTAGTGTCACAGTCTCAGCTCAGCATACTTCACAACTCCTATGTGTATCTGTAATGGTAAAATCGTTAATGTGCCTCTTGCTAAAATAATGAAGTTGAATTAATGTAAAAGTAGTTATTTTGTGCTAGGAAAAGTCTCATTCAATTGTTTTTATGAACTTCTTATAATAAAGAAAATTATTTTTATTTTGAAATCAGCCTCTTTTTAATAATTGAAATCTGTTTTTTAGACTGTTGTCTCAGTGTATGGAATATTTTGACCTGAGGTGCCAATTATTAGATGATCTGACAAGTAAGTAAATGTCTAACTTTGATTTTTATGGGGGGAGTAAATTCGAGGGGGTGGGAAGGAGAAAAGAAAGCCAAATGGGCATTTCTAATTCTGACTTAATGTATCGAGATATAAGTGAGATTATAACTATCATTTGAGGTTGAATTTTATTTTCCTGAAAATAGCGTGTAAACCCCATATGCCAGTTTTCTATTATGTATCCAACTATTATATGCTGAGGAAATCTGTTGATTTTAAAAATTGTCAAAGGCGCTTATACTTTAATTACACTGATACAGAGCTATTAAGAAGTCTTTCTAGTATGGTCCATTCTGATCATTTTTCAAAAGTTGATTATTGAAAGATAGAAGAAATGTCTATTGAGATGTGTTGATAGTAATAGAAGTGAGTGACAGAAGTAGACAGGATTCGTATCTGGTGCCAGTCCAGCTTTGGCTGACCCTGACGTATCCCTTTTTACCTCCTCATCCGGGACCCTGCTTGCTGTGGCTTATGGTGCAGGGAAAGTAGAGCATAATCACTCCTCTCCCACCCAATCCCAATTTCCAATATGGAATCTTGTTTTAAATCCTTGTTTGGAGGGGAAGTGAAATATGCTTCATATGAGCAGTTCTCTGGAGTTTGGCGCATTGTTTGGAATCCTGAACTCTGCTACTGTGCTGTTGACCTCTCTCCTTTGCAGAACTCTGCCCCCTATAGGCGTAGGTAACACTGTGGGAGCATTGGCTCTCCTCATACCCTTCCATCTTTCCTTCCCACCAGAGGAGCTTATTTTAAACAAGGATTGTCTCCTTCATCTTATATCCCCAGCTTGTAGCACAGTGACCTGCACAGAAGAAGCACTCAGCATATGTTTGGTTTATGACTGAGAGTGAGTGAAGGAAGGAAGGAATATGCATGAGCTGTCATAGTCCTATGGGTAGCAGCTATACCCTGAGATTTATTAATGACAGGGCTTGTTTGTTTTTTGAGTTTGACGAAGTGAAAGATTGGGACATCTCTCTGCCTACTTTAATTCAGGATTTTGACTCCATAAAGGGAAATACTTCTCTTTAAGAAACTGATTTTTTTTTTTTCTTAGCTTCAGAAATGGAGCAGTTAAGAATCAGCCCAGCTACCATGCTTGAAGATGAGATTACTTGGCTGGATAACTTTGAACCTAATCGCACAGCTGAATGTGAGACCAGTGAAGCAGACAACATCTTATTGGCAGGACACTTACGGCTCATTAAGACCCTTCTTTCACTCTGTGGGGCAGAAAAAGAAATGCTTGGTAATTATTGCTTCACCTTGTCATGTGACAGAATAGCTCATTTTCAGTTCCTGCCATAGTATTGTGTGTAATTGGGAAAATAAGATAGGTGCTAAGTGTTGCATAGAAAATTGGCCCTTCAGGCAATAGGAGATTGTCTGGCTTAATGCCTAACAAATTTAAGGTATATTTTACCTGTGTCACTAAACTATATAGGGAATTTTATAGTGTTCAAAAGAGTTGGATCACATAACTTAATACCAAGTAAAAATTATAATTCAAAGTAGGTTTTTCTCTTTTTGCTGTTGGGTACTTTATAAAATATAATCTGTTGTATACCTTACTTCTTTTAAGAGTAATTTTCTTCTAGGGGGGCAGCCCCCAACCACTACCCCTAGAAGATAGATGAGTCTCCTGAGTTACATATGTAACTTGTACAAATATATTAAGTATTATAATTATATTCAGGAAACAAATCAAAACATTAATTACCACATTTATCACACAAACTAAGCTCTATAAAAAAATTTTTTAGCAACTGGGGATACATAGAAAAGAGTGATTCTAAAACAGGGTGAGAAGGGCAGATTATTTTTACCTAATAAAGGCAAGATTTTAAAAGTTTCAAAACCCTTTAAGTGGATTCCCTGTGCCCAAAGTTAGAATTATTTACTCAAACCATCTACCTTGTGGTGTTCTTGGCATTTGTGTTTCTAAAATGAAAGTTCGACTCCTTTCACTCTGTTGTAAGTTCATAAAGGAAGGTACCCTCGTTTGTCTATCTTTATATCCTGTACCCTGACCCTACCAGCCATCCCTACCCCTCTACACCAAGAGCTTAGCCAAAAATTAAGCATTAAACTAAATTGAATGCCCTGCTATTGGGTGGCTTAGGTGCCTTTGCCTTTGATATGAAGTGCAAGACAGGATCTTTGAATTAAAATATGTGTTCATCCTCAACATGAATATTATGCTCTATTCCAGGTTCATCACTCATTAAACCATTGTTAGATGACTTCCTTTTCCGAGCTTCTAGAATTATTTTAAATAGTCATTCTCCAGCTGGCAGTGCCGCCATCAGTCAACAGGACTTTCATCCAAAGTATGGAAAATGCACGTTGTGTTCAGTTTTGGTAAAAATTCTAATTCAAAACATTAGTCCAAAACGATTTTTGTAACTTGGAGTTTGTCTTCTGTCTTGTGAGTGTGCATAGCTTATAAGATCTTATCCACTATACAAAGAAATGCATGTAAAGAGACTTAGGATAAAGCCTGCCTGGCACACAGTACGTGCTGAGCAAGTATGCTGGTACCATTGTTTCCATCGAAAGAGAATAAGTAATAATGTGGTTAATTTGGTCAGTAACAAATTCCAAGAGAAACTGAATTTGTCAGAATTTAGTCCAAAGTGAAAGTCAGTAGGTTCAGGTTCTGAGTGTTGAGGGTTTCTTCTAGAAGAAAAGTATAGGTGCTTTAGTGCATGAACCTCGAGGTTTGCTGAGTAGTGACTGCTCCTGATCATTAAAACTGTTTGTGATAGATTACAGTGGTAATTTTAGAATCAACTTCCATATTAATTTCTGTGGGTAGAAATGTGGAAGATCCTTTTGTAATACTAACCCTACATGGGTGGTGTTTATACTCTTAAAGATAGGAGGTTATTTGCTCTGAATCTAACTTTGTTCTATTCTCATGAAAACCAGAGTTAATTGAGTAATCCTGAGGAAACTGAAGATTTGGCATTTATCCAGTGGAAAAAATTCCTACATAATTCAGTGGTTAATGAAATGGGCAAGGCATAATAAGCAATATTTTATGCAACCCTAAAGGAATCTTATGTGGGAATATTTCTCCACTTAGAGATCCCTTATTAGCATAATCTGTTTTAGGTAAGAAGCCTTCATTAGGACTCTTGGAATGTCCCTCAGGATGGAGTGACTCCAATCCTTAGTCCTGTCCCAACCTGTTCTAGAAGATTGGTACTAACTCCATGGGAGTCTTTTATTAAAGCAGTAGAAATATATGAGTACATTAATTTTTAGTGAGCAGAGAAAATAAATTTTCAATTTTACAGAAATTTGTATTCGTGAATTCTTCACTTTATCTTTATTAAAAGTAAAACCTTCATCCACAAGGAGTTATTTTTTAAAGCATATATAGTGCCTTGAATAGAAAAGGAAACATTTTGTTTCATCTCTCCTCAGTGCACCGAATGGTGTTCATTTATCCCAATTACTCCCAGCATTTTCCTGAATCATAAAGCCAGAAAGAGATTAAAATACACAGAAACTCTTTCACAGTATTGCCATTTTCATATCACACTAACAGCAAAAGAACTTCTTAATATTTAGCCTGTGTATGTGGTACCTCCTATTCATTCTTGTCCTTTGCAACCCAGAAGTCCATGCCTCAGTGGCTGGCTCAGTGCTGATCTGAAAGCCTCACCGCTCCCTCGTGAGCACATCTTCTACACTCCACTTCCTAAGTGTTTCTTTCAGAGGTTGGATGTCCTCTTTTCTGTGTATCCTTCCTAACCTGTGATCATAGTATTGCAAGGTTGGCATAGGTGATAGTGAGAAATTACTATTGATCCCCAAAGTTATAATCATTCAAGGTGAGCAGTCTAAACATATTGATTGAGAAAATTATGTATTTTTGTCTCCATTTTTTTCTGCAAAATGGAAAGTTGATTAGTGTCCTTGAAAAATATTTTAGCTGTAGGCACATATAAAATGTTTATGGGCATCTATTCTGATTTCCATAGCTTTCTTTTTCTGCCCTTTAGATATTTGAATTTCAGGATGATATCTACAGAAGCCTTTCTTGCTATCTACTTTAATTGAAAAATAGTTATTTCCATGTTGTGATTTTGGTAAAATTTTCAGACTGTCCTCTGTTTTTACTGATATATCCCATAGATAAGAATACTCTGGAATCATACATGACAGATTTTACTACTTCATCATCAGGCCACAAAGATATTTAGCTCTAAACCATATTCATCCCTCCAGTATTCATGGCCTCCGCCTTTGTTAAGTCAGCACTCCCACTAGATTTCTAGAGTTCTGCCAGCAGACCTGACTTAACCTAACTCTTTGGGGAATTGCAGCTCTTGTACTTTCATTGCAAAAATTGACTTGGACTAATTGACTTGTGTCTTTTGTTTTTAGGTGTAGTACAGTGAATAGCCGATTGGCAGCCTATGAAGTCCTTGTAATGTTGGCTGATAGCTCACCTTCAAATCTTCAAATTATTACAAAAGAACTACTTTCCATGCATCATCAACCGGACCCTGCTCTTACCAAGGAGTTTGATGTACGTTTTCTAGACTTTGGTGCACTTAATTTTTTTAGAGTGGTCTCCTAAACATAGAATTTTTAAAACTATGTTTTCATTTTTCTAATCACAAAGAAAGTCAGGATTACTCTTTTACTTATCATGTTTATATACTCAAGTCAACTATAATCTATGATGTATTACTTAATGGTACCCTTTTAATTAATTAAAGAGGATACATTTTCAAGTCGGTTAATAATTACTCTCAGTAAAAAGTAGCATTTCAACCTATTTCTTGAGTACGTTTATGCTTGGCAAGACACTAGAGACAAATAAGCATTGGCTCTGTCACACTGCAGTCTTTGTTCAGTTAAATTCAACTAAGATTGATTGAGTTTACTATTTGCTAAGAGGTGTGTTGGGCTTTTGGAGCTCAAAATGAAAGATTGATCCCAGCCCTCAAGGTCAGTGTATAATGGAAGAGACAGATCCATAAGCAGGTAATTTCAATATAATGGGATCAAATTTAAGATAGAGGTATGTGTGGAACACTCTACTAACAGACACTTTACCACCAGGTGGTAGTGTTTTGGAAGGCTTCTTAGAAAACGTGAAATTTAAAATAGAGCCTTAAAGACTGTGAGCCCATTGAAACAAGGTGGCAAGGTCAGTCCAGCTGTGGGCAAACCTGTGGAGCCCTGGAGCAGCACATTATATGTTGGGATTGCAAGAGGGAAGCAAGTTGGGGTGCCCTGGAGTATCAGACCAGGAGTGGGAGGGCACTTGTACAGCTGCTTGTACATTCTCCACTAACATCACAGTCACTTGAGCTGAGTGTTGCAAAACATACAGTGTAGGCAGGAAAGGAAGTGGGAACAGGCGTTCTAAATAGAGAAAATGGCACTTGCAGAGTAAAATGTGATGCATAGTTTAACATGTATGTAATCAGATTAAAATGGAAATTCTATTATTTTCATAAATCAGGAATTATAGCAGCATAATGAAAAATGTCTTATATAAATATATTTTTAGCACTGTTATAAACCAGTTTTTCTTATTTTTTAACTTTTTTTTTTTAATCTATGCTTTGGACTACAAGTAAATTACAGTGGTAATTAGATCTTAGAAATCACCCTGCTCTAAGTGTATGTTGAATGTTAATAAAACGTATGTAATATGTTCCTTTCCATTCAAAAGATCAACAGGGTCTTGTCAGTTGGTTAGGTATTACATGGATACAGATACTTGATATTTGCAGATAACGTGGGTCTGGTCATGGCATTAGAATCGAGAGACTCAGCTGTAACAGAATTTAAGAGAATGTCATTACAATACCTTTCCACTTGGAGAAGTGCCATGTTGAACTTCATCCAAGATGCCCTTTCTTGATTATTTGTGCATAGAAAAGTGCTGCACTGGGATCTACATTATTACAAACATCTTTACATGAAATGCTAAGGCATTTACCTGTTTAATTGTTATTAGAATCGAGAGACTCAGCTGTAACAGAATTTAAGAGAATGTCATTACAATACCTTTCCACTTGGAGAAGTGCCATGTTGAACTTCATCCAAGATGCCCTTTCTTGATTATTTGTGCATAGAAAAGTGCTGCACTGGGATCTACATTATTACAAACATCTTTACATGAAATGCTAAGGCATTTACCTGTTTATTTAATTGTGTGCTTATTAGAGGAAGTTGAGTAGAAGAGTGTTCCCTTCTCAGAAAGGAAGAGAAGGAATATGTGCTTTCCTTGACCATCTAGACTGGCCTGATCAGGATTCTTCAGAGTAAACACTTCATAGAACCCTAATCCTTTTTTTCCTTTTTTTCAGAGTATCGCCTCAATTTGTAAATATGTATTAGTATATTTACTTGATCAATGCCTATCTACCCTACTAGATTGTGAGCTCCTTTGAGATCAGGGTACATTTGAGCTTTCTCTCGTATCCTGGCATAGTTTCTGGCTTATATGCTGTGTACTTTATGAACTAAAAAGAAACATTGAGATGATAGTATATTTATAATTGTGTCAGCATTTGCAGAGCTACTTCATGAACACAGGTTTTGCTAGCTTGACTCACAGTACGCTGGATGGATAAATCTGAGTTTATCTCTTTCCCCCTTACATTAGAGCTATGGGGACGTGTGCTGATGGCAGACACTAATTCTCTCCATTTCTCCTCCTCTCCTTCCTAGTACCTCCCCCCCGTGGACAGCAGGTCCAGTGCAGGGTTTGTGGGTCTGAGGAATGGTGGCGCCACATGTTACATGAACGCTGTCTTCCAGCAGCTATACATGCAGCCTGGTCTCCCTGAGGTGATTTCCTTCCTCTTGCCTGTTGGGTGTGATAAGTAATGTGTACATTGCCTGAAAATTGCTCCACATTCATTTAGTGCGATTTAGGGGTTACTAAAATTCAGTGACTCCTGAAATAATGCTAGAGTAGTCGCACATTATTATACATCTGCTGCAGTAATATGTTACCTGTTTGACAGATGAGTTTGACCTAATTCACATGTGATATTTGAACTCCTAAGTTATTTAAGTTGCTAACATTTTTAGTATTTTAGAAATATTTTTACAGTCACATTCAAACACGTAGCATTCTAAAAGAATAATGTATGGACTCCCACGTACATAAGTCAAGGTTATCTGTAAAACAGTTAAATATTTCTAACTTTATACTTCATGTCTTTTCAGGCATTACTTTCAGTGGATGATGACACTGACAATCCAGATGATAGTGTATTCTACCAAGTGCAGTCTCTGTTTGGGCATTTGATGGAAAGCAAGCTGCAGTATTATGTACCTGAGAATTTTTGGAAGGTATTTCACCAGTAACTCTAGATTTAAAGATGTTGAATATTTGGAGTTTGGCTACATTCTTTCTCTAGTGATAGTTGTCTCTTGTCTTTATTAATTCTAGATTAATCCCATTGCCAGAACCTACAGAAGAGTTGTCTATACCATTCTTGAAATTGGTCCTTGATTTCAAGTTATTAGAATAGTCATTTGTAATTTCTATGGATTTGCTCATCTTAATTACTTTGGATATTTCTCATGATTCTTATTTTAGCTGCTTCAAGTATTTGTTCAACTCATTCCTCAGAACCTATGCCAATTTCACTAATACCTCTAAATAAAGAACATTCTTTTTTAACATTGCTTTTCTGTGTTTCACGGGAGGAGTAGCTTGTACTTTCCCCCATAGGTGGGTTAGTTTATAAGAGAGAAGCTCTCTGTTCATGGCCTTGGCTCTCATCCTGTGGTTTCATAGACTTGTTAGGATGGCAAAGGGATCAGAGAAAAGCATGAGTGGCTGAACACAAGCTCATCTCACTTCAGTAAAAACGTTTGCATCCTAATAGTGAACTTAGTTTTTAGAAGCATTAAGTGCTCTTTTACATCCTTTTTCTATCATATTCAGAAGTTGCTACTTTTCCTTTAATGACATTTAATTCTTGTTACGTAGATTTTCAAAATGTGGAACAAAGAACTTTATGTGAGAGAACAACAGGATGCATATGAGTTCTTCACTAGCCTCATTGATCAGATGGATGAATATCTCAAGGTAGACAAAGTTTTATTTTCCCTCTAACCCCTCAAACTAGTGTAAGAGCAGTGGTTTAGGATTTGGGACTGCTGTGAAACTGACAAGTCAGAAATTGATCATCTTGCATACAACAACTATATATCATTTCTTCTGGGTTTGAACATCAAAACATATACAGATCACTACAATTATACATTTCTTCTTATTTCATTTAACACTTGATAAAGTATGTGATTCTCAGTCTACACTCCATAATAATAATCATTTGTATCTGCCTACTCTTACCTGCATGCATTAAAGTAACCTGGCCTCAGAGAAGTGCTGTAAGCACTGGTGGCCGCATGCAGAGCTGTCTTGCTTTGGCAAAGGGAACAAAAGGACTAGATTAAGTTGTTTGTGGTGATGTTTTAACCCAAAGCTTTAAACATGTGACAGACTTCCTAAATGGTACTGCCTTCTAAGTTACAGACAGCCTCCCATTACTGCTTACATGTGCCTCTCTTCTCAGCGGTAGGCACGTTTTCTAAATTTATAGCATTGTCTGCAAGGGAAAAGAAAAGATTGTGGAGAGTTGGTACTGCCTTGTGAGTGAGGCGTGGAAGAAGGAATTGGTCTTGGAGAGTGCTGTCCTGTCAGCAACTCTGACCTCTCTCCTCCGCCTTTTCTGATCACTCGTTGGTCTTGGAGAGTGCTGTCCTGTCAGCAACTCTGACTGACCTCTCTCCTCCGCCTTTTCTGATCACTCCTAACAGTGGGTCTAATGGGTTATAATCCTTTCAATTAGTTCCCAGATTAAACTGCCAAGATGACTTCTTTTATTTTGGTGGTTGCATTGACATCTGTGCTTTAGCTTAGTTTGTTCTAAATAAAATTCTGTGTAAACAACCTATAAATTCGAAGTGTATCAACTGAAAATTTATGAACTTTTTATTCCAACAGAAAATGGGAAGAGACCAAATTTTTAAGAATACTTTTCAAGGCATCTATTCTGATCAGAAAATCTGTAAAGACTGTCCTCACAGGTTAGTGAAGATATCATTAACATTAAAAAATGATTATTATAGCTCTAACCGGTTTGGCTTAGTGGGTAGAGCATTGGTCTGCGGACTGAAGGGTCCCAGGTTCGATTTTGGTCAAGGGCATGTACCTTGGTTGCGGGCACATCCCCAAGGATTGTAACCGTCTTTATGCTTCAGGTATGCAGGAGGCAGCTGATCGATGTTTCTCTCTCATCGATGTTTCTAACTCTCTATCCCTCTCCCTTCTTCTCTGTAAAAAATCAATAAAAAATATATTTTAAAAAATGATTATTATAACTAAGTGATTCTTCTAGTGGGTTATGAACTTTGCATTTGTTGAGAGACTTGCATCTCTCTCTCTCAGTGGATCTATAAGTGTTTATTGAATTAGATTTCTTTGCTTTCAATTTCTAAAATTTCTTTGTTGAAATTCATAATTTTAAGCAATTCTGAATTGTCAAATTGGTTATTTTAATTTGGTAGTGTACTTTTTAAAGGATGAGGAAAGTTATGGTTAATTTCACTGATTGTGAATAGTTTTGTGTTTAATCTCAGGTATTATGATACTTTAAAGCTTTTCAAATTTTGTTGTTGATCATGGTTTTTCTGTTATTTCCTAATCAGATATGAGCGAGAGGAAGCTTTCATGGCTCTCAATCTAGGAGTTACTTCCTGTCAGAGTTTGGAAATTTCTTTGGACCAGTTTGTTAGAGGAGAAGTTCTAGAGGGAAGTAATGCCTATTACTGTGAAAAGTGTAAAGAAAAGGTATTTCACGTGCCCTTTTTATAAAACTCGCTTAATCTTTTATTCCATGTACTTTATGTAAGATCACTTTTAAGCTCTGTTGTTACTTCCGTTAGATTGTGTCATCCCTTGTGTTTACACAGGTGGTAAGGCCTAGAGAAACCTATGACCTTTGTATTATTTACTTGGCTGTTTTATTTTCTCCAAGGAGCTAATTGGGTTTTGCTTTTCTTTAGAGAATAACAGTCAAAAGGACCTGTATTAAGTCTTTACCTAGCGTCTTGGTCATTCACCTAATGAGATTCGGATTTGACTGGGAAAGTGGACGCTCCATTAAATATGATGAACAGATAAAGGTAACTTTTTTCCCCCTGAAAGTTTTTATAACCGTTACTGCCTCGCTCACTTTTTATCATTTTCTTTTAATATTTTCAAATTTCATGTAAATTGTGAAAGGCTATAGCCTCAGCATTCTGAGGAGTAAATAGCCCTTGTCCGAGCAGCTGCTGCCAGTGGAACTGTGTGTGACCGCGAACAGTGACCCTCATGTGCAGAGGCACCTGGTGTCAGCTGTGACGTCGGATGCTTTCCTTAACGCTCAAGGAGAGGTCACTTGTACGCTCCCAGATTGTGAGCCATTTGGAGGTTTTAAACTTAAATTGGAGAGGTAGTCCTAGCTTACAGTAGGAAACACTCATCCCCTTCTTTGTGTCTGACTTAATTGGGTATGGCAGTTTACGTTACTAATCAACATGAATGTGCTCCTTTGCTTTTAATAGTTTCCCTGGATGTTAAACATGGAGCCGTACACAGTTTCAGGAATGGCTCGCCAAGATTCATCTTCTGAAGTTGGTGAAAATGGACGAAGTATGGATCAGGGAGGTGGAGGGTCTCCACGAAAGAAAGTTGCCCTCACAGAAAACTATGAACTTGTCGGTGTCATCGTACACAGTGGGCAGGCACATGCAGGCCACTACTATTCCTTCATTAAGGATAGGCGGTAAGGGGTTCTCCCAAGAGTCCCTCTCTGTTCTTCCAGTATCTCTCCTCCACTCCCCTACCCTCCTTTACATCTCTCCTCCACTCCCCTGCCTCCGGTATATCTGTCCTCCACCCCCCTGCCCTCCTGTATATCTGTCCTCCCCCCCCCTGCCCTCCTGTATATCTGTCCTCCGCTCCCCTGCCCTCCTGTATATCTGTCCTCCACTCCCCTGCCCTCCTGTATATCTGTCCTCTGCTCCCCCTGCCCTACTTTATCACCCACACTTACCATTATTATACAAAGAAGCTTTGCATTGTTCTTTGGTCTTATTTAATATTGCATTTTTAAAATTGTAACCGTCTTTATGCTTCAGTTTGCAAAGTTGTTTTAGAAATTAGAATAACTGTTGCTGTATTTTTCTTAGGTATTTTCAAATGGTAATCACCTGCTATATTTATAGACAATACAAAGAAATAAATACTGGAGATGGGATATTTGTTTTTTATTATAATGTTTGTTTTTTCTGTGGGCTCTAGGGGATGTGGAAAAGGAAAGTGGTATAAATTTAATGACACCGTTATAGAAGAATTTGACCTAAATGATGAGACCCTGGAATATGAATGCTTTGGAGGAGAATATAGACCAAAAGTTTATGATCAAAGTAAGTATTTACAAATGGATATTTTCCATAAATTTCTTTCTTTCTTTCTTTTTTTCTTTCTTTTCTTTTTTTTTTTTTTTTGAGTTAGGATTTTCTATCAAGTTGGAAGCAGTTTTATTTACATAAAAATAGAAGAGATTTCACTCTTTTTACACACCACTACTCTATATAGGTCCATGAGCTCTTTGATAGCCAGAGTAAAAACGTTCAAGCTGCTTACAAAAAATTTTTTTTAATAATTTCTTAAAACAGCCTTGGAGAAATATGGGGGGGAGGTGTAAGTGAAATGAATATCAAAGAGAATTCCAACCTTAAAAATAGTTTCAAAAGAAGTAGTTATCCACTAAAATTTTCATGTTTCTGCCCTAGCCAGTTTGGCTCAGGGGATAGAGGGTCGGCCAGCAAACTGAAGGGTCCCGGATTTGATTCTGGTCAAAGGCACATGCCCAGGTTGTGGGTTCAATCCCCAGTAGGAGACGTGTAAGAGGCAGCCAATCAATGGTTCTCATCACCGATGTTTCTGTCTCTCCCTCTCCTTCCTCTGAAATCAATAAAAATATATTTTAAAACAAATAAATAAATAATTTTCAGGTTTAGGGAGTGTGCAGGAGGCAGCTGATCAATGTTTCTCTCTCACTGATGTTTTTAACTCTCTATCCCTCTCCCTTCCTCTCTGTGAAAAATCAATTAAATATATATATTTTTTAAATGTGTGAGCCAAAATATGTCACAAAGCTCCTACATTTGCAACATAGTACATAGTTGCTTAGAGTTGCAACTCAGAGGCCGGCAAGTCAGGCGGGGAACGTTGGAGTCTGCAGTCACTGGAGCAAGCAAGCCTCATGTTCGCTTCCAGCTGCCTGGCTGCCGGCCGCCATCTTGGCTGACAGTTAATTTGCATAAGGATATGCTGATTAGCCAATGGGAAGGGTAGCGGTCGTACGCTAATTACCATGTTTCTCTTTTATTAGTGTAGATTTCCTCACTGGCTTTCCTCAAACTGCTTATCTGGGCAAGGAAGATAATGATTTGCTTTTGACAGGATCAGTATGCAAATTATTATACAGGTATACTTTACATAATGCTAAATTGCCAGTCTATTGTGAGCGTTGGGACCATAGAAGTGGCCGTCCAGCAGGTGGGCAGGCAGGCCTGTGGCTGTTCCCTCCCTGGAACAGACTCTCCTGGAGGCTATGGCAGGCGCTGAGGCACAGGTGGGAGTTGTTCACTGTAAGCGCTCATGTGCTGGCCCAGCCACGTAACAGTAAGAACTTCATTAGAGACTGGTCTGCCCCGAACTGTTCATGCCTCTCCAGGCCCCTGGGAGTGAGGAGCTCAGTGCCAGGGCATCTTCCCAGCCACCCTGTCCCTATTCCTGCTCAGGGTGCAGTGCCTCCCAAACACCTCCATGTGCGGGACCAAAGAATTCTCTGTCATGGAAGGGCTAACTGCTGTTTTTTACATTTGTGACTTTCTTTGAGATCTGGTGAGATACAGGCTTTTGTTTTCATATCAAACTAGTGGCCCAGTGCACAAAATTCGTGCACATTATATTCGTGCACATAAATATTTCCCTTAGAGGAAATATTTTAACATTGCTATTTGCCCTTTCTCTATAATAGAAGTGTCAGAGATGAAAGAAAATTAGTAAAATGTATATGAAAATCTTTCTCCTGTCAGAGTCTGGGGCGCGCTGCGGGACCCAGAGTCAAGTCCCCGCCTACCCGTGCACACCTCGAAATCATGCAAGACCCAGACCCTGGTGGCCCCACCCCCATCAAGCCCCGCCAGGCGGGGGCGCAGCCTCAGGTCCCCTGGTCTGGCGCCAGCCCAGGGGTGCAGCCTGAGATCCCCCGTCAAGCCCTGCCGGGCAGGGGGCGCAGCCTGAGGTCCCCCGCCCCGGTCCAGCACCACGCAGCCTCAGGTCCCTGCTGATCGCTCATTACAGGAACCCCGCCTCTGCTTTGGGCACAGCAATCTTGTGATGTGTGAGGTTTAATTTGCATATTACCTCTTTATTATATAGGATGTTACTTTTTTATTGAATTGAGACTTGCCTGGAATATTTACCTTCTTTCCCTTACTGTGTTACCATACAACTCTTTTACTCCCTGCCCCTCTATATCACCCTCCAAGTAATTCTAAGCAGTACTCTAAAAAGACGCACATTTTACCTACACTTTGCATTTAACAAATTTAGTAAGTAGTTACTTGCTGGATTTATGGGTCCTTTGTTTTAGATTAAGACAAGAAAACTTTTGTTTACTTGTTTCTTTCTTAATGTCTTGTTATAAAGCAAATCCATATACTGATGTTCGCCGAAGATACTGGAATGCCTATATGCTCTTCTACCAACGGGTATCTGATCAGAACTCGCCAGTCTTACCAAAGAAAAGTCGAGTCAGCGTTGTGCGGCAGGAAGCTGAGGATCTCTCTCTGTGAGTTTATTTTCTGTGTAATTGTGTGAATTCAGTAGGGGATATTGTGATCTTTATACTGTTTGGTATTTAAGTGTAATTTGCTAAGCTAGAGAGAAATTCTAAAAAAATAACTGCTCTATCCCTTTTCTTTCTTCTTATTGCTTGGTCATTGTTGTTCCCCTGGCAAAAAGTTATTTTGTATTTAGAAAAATGTGTATAAATTATTTTATTAGAAGTGAGATTTTTTTTCATCCCAGCATGTTATTGAATAAACTTTATGTTCAAAGCATAGTAAGCACTTCAGTCAGAAAGGTTTTTTATTGTATTCTCTGTGAATTTGAGTTTAAATTATTGAATTAGGGGAGTATACAATTAATTTATTTTTAAATCCAGTACCCAGATTTTGTAGGTTTGTTAGGTTTTAGGAACTACTAAAACAATAGCCACTTTAGTCAGTTTTCTGATTCTGTCTCTTAGATCAGCACCTTCTTCACCAGAAATTTCACCTCAGTCATCCCCTAGGCCCCATAGGCCTAACAATGACCGGCTCTCTATTCTAACCAAACTGGTTAAAAAAGGAGAGAAGAAAGGACTGTTTGTGGAGAAAATGCCTGTTCGAATATATCAGGTAAGAACTGTATAATTCTTAGAGAGAAAATTCAGATAGTGTTAAAATCCGTCTCGTAGGTCCAGAAGAACTCCAGCTGGTTATATTGTGGACTTAGCTGTATCTCTAGTGCAACATCTTCTTACCCTCATGTGTCACAAATCTTTCATATCAGGTCATAAAGGTGGCTACAAACTCAAGATTGACCCCACCATCACCACTTTCCATGTGGCTATAGGATGCCAAAGATAAATAAATAGAAGGCATGGGCAGTAAAAACAACAACAACAAAAAAAAAACAAAACATAGCTAAAATTAACTTATTGTAGCTGGAGAGAAAAATAAGTTAAAGTTTATAACTTTTGGGGGGTAACACTAATATGTCAGTGATGACCATTAATTGTTGAATACCTACTCTATGCTACACACTTTAAAACAAGTCCATAATTCTTAAGACACTCTTGTGGGATGGAAGGTTTTCTTCCCATTTCTTAGATGGAAAAAATTAGGCTCAGAAAAGGCAAAATGACCTGCTAGTGTCTCAGAGATAGGATTAAAATTCAGAACTGTCTAACTGCCAGTTCAGACTTTGTAAACTAAGTAAACAGGAGCTGAGTAGCCACAGCAGAGAATTTAAGAAGAATATGGAGTCTACTTGGGAAAGCTCTGTTTGTTCCTTCCTACCCAGAATAATAGGTTAGACTTCACTTGTCCTTCACATGGTGGCTTTCCTAAATTTTCCAAAAGGATTTCATTTAATGAATACTAATTAATCTTTTTACAACTTCTTATATGAAGATTTTCCTCTCTTTAAAAAAATTCAGAGCTTGAGAGTAGAGTTACAAATCCTTCTTACCTAACATATCACTAAAAATGTCTTTTACATGTTGAATATTTTACCATTTCTTTAAAATAATTGCTAATTTTCTTTTGTAGATGGTGAGAGATGAAAACCTCAAGTTTATGAAGAATAGAGATGTGTACAGTAGTGATTATTTCAGTTTTGTGTTGTCTTTAGCATCATTGAATGCTGTAAGTACTAGCTGGATTGTTACTAAAGTAAGAAAGAATTATAATTAAGCAACTTTCAGCTAAAATGTTCAATGACTCATGTTCACTCTCAGTTGTTAACCTTTAGATGAAATGCAAAATATTCTCACAAATGTGTAACTTATTGAGTTATATTAAAATATAGGCAGTTTTTGTAATATGTCATGCAAGTTGTAGATGGGTGTGGGTTTCCACATACTGGCTTTTAAAGTGCTATTTAAATTTTATGATGACTCTAAGAGTAGCTATTAGGTAATATCATTGGATATTGGGCTTTGTGGAGATTAATTATTCCTAATTTGTAATTAGACATTACTAGCACTTCGAAGTACTTCTGTTTCTTGAGTACCATGATTATAATTTGCTAATAAGAGGAAAACTTTATCAGTCTTTTGATAGATTACTTAACATCTTGTGGTCCAAAGACTCTTTTTGCCCAACTGGTATGGCTCAGTGGTTGAGTGTCAGCCTATGAACTAGGAGGTCATGGTTTGATTCCTGGTCAAGGCACATGCCTTATTTGCAGGCGCAATCCCCAGTAAGGGGTATGTGGGGGGGCACCTGATCCATGATTCTCTCTCATCCTTGATAATTCTATCTCCCACTCTCTTCCTCTTGAAATCAACAACAACAAAAAATTTTAATATAAATAAAGACTGTTTTGAGAGGACTTAAAAAAATGAAGGTGTCTTTCTTAAAGTTTAACTGGAACATTTTCTATAATGGCTGGCTAGATTTTTCTTATTAGTACTGAATTTTATCATGTGTCATTTAGTTCATACAATGTGTAATAATCTATAAAACTTCTAAGAAAAAGTATCCTCTCTGTTTTTCTCCCCCCATCAGACTAAATTAAAGCATCCATACTATCCTTGCATGGCAAAGGTAAGCCTACAGCTTGCCATTCAATTCCTTTTTCAAACTTATCTACGGACAAAGAAAAAACTCAGGTAAGAAGTGATATGTTTTGATTGTCATGGCAAAAAGCACTAATTAAATCAATTAAAGCTGAATTTCTGAATTCAGCTTTTTAAAACATTGTTTTAGATAGTTGGAAACTACCAACTGTACTCAGATGATTAATGGCTTCTATCTATAAGGAATTTCTAATCTAGTAGGGAAAAAAAATAGATTCAACAGAGCAGTAACTGTGATACAAGGCATAAATGCTGTACAACTTTGGAAACTGGGCAGAATCATATCCAGATGTGGGGTGGGGTTGGTATTGAAGACACTTGTGTTCTCAGATGATTTTGAAAGGCAAAAGTATGGAGACAGTTATTATTCTTGGTGGAAGGGAAAAACCTGAGTAATGGGTAAGACTTGCTTAAAGAACTATGAATGACCAGTGTTTTACTCGTACATTTAAGGAACTTATTGAGGTGAGACGAATGTTGGGTTTGGATGAGCTCACTGAGTGCCAGAGAAGGGAGTGGCCTTTGTTCAGTGGGCGATCGGGGAGGGTCCCTAAACAGGGTCAGTGTGTTCAGAGGCATGCCATAGAAACTCGACTCTGATTGCATGTTAGTCTCGTTGGTTTTTATCTTTAGCACCTGGTAAGGTGCCTGACACCTTACAGGCTCTGGGTAAATGGTGGTTGAGAAACTGAAGGATGGAGAGTAGTTGGGTTAGTTTGTAGGATATACCTGGAGCAAGAAGGGGAGGCTCAGGGTGAGGAGGCCAATTAACAGAAGACCATGGACATTCTCGAGCTCCTCTCTCTAGCACAAGTATGGAGAGGTTTTTAGAAAGATTTTGCAATCAAGAAACATCTTGAGATGATAACAGATATAATGACATTTCATTTTTATGTGCAATAATAAAGAATATATTAAATACCAGGTTTTATTATTTGATTGAAAAAGAAGAAATGTTTCTTGTCATGTCTGGCATAGGATTGACTAAGGAAATTGTTTGGTTACTTAACATATAAAAGTATAGAATGTAGGCATTTTGTGAATGTCAATTAAGCAAAACAAAATGTTCAGGCTTTTTTTTTTTTGGCAATTGAAGTTTTTTGAAGAAGATGCAGATAGCTTCTTTACACTTTTTTCTTTTATGGTGTGGGGGTTGGGGGCAGGATGAGTCGCACAAATACCAAAGACTGCAAAGCACTGGCTTCTCGGGTGATGGAGCCATGTTAGTTACAGTCACTGAGTATTTAACTCCTACTCACTTGCCAAAAAAGTTTTAAAGAATGTTACAGTGGAGTGATACTCCATGGGGTTATTTGCGGGGACTGTACTCCTAATATTCTTTGTTTTTTTTAAAGGGTTGACACTGAAGAATGGATTGCCACTATTGAAGCATTACTTTCAAAAAGTTTTGATGCTTGTCAGTGGCTAGTTGAATATTTTATTGGTTCTGAAGGACGAGAATTGATAAAGTAAGTGTCAAGATTTTTAATTAAAAGAAATTTGTGTTTCTTCCAGTGATTGGGAGCTGACATTTCTTGTAACTCTTTTTATTTCAACTTGAAATTATATTTCTGATTGGAATCAATTTTAAACTTTCTTCACCAATGAAGCAGTGAGGAAATTATTTGGGTCACTTCAAAATCATTCTTTCCAAACCATCTCTATTAGTCTAGACTCAGGGTATTCAAGGAGAATGCAAGGAGAGCAGGTGTGCAGATGGCCAGGTGCTCACAGGTAGCCACATCCTAAAACGCAAAATACAAGGCCCTTTCTTCAGGGGCCCACAGTCTGGTGCACAGGGGGTCCCAGGGGTGCTATCTTGGCTCCAAGCTTTAACTAGTATCTCATTCTGAGAAATTGAAGGGGTTCCAGGAGAGCTGCTCCTGAATGAACAGAATTCATAAAATTTTAGGTTATTTGCTCAATGTTCAATTTATATTTATACAGATACTCATTTTGGGGAAAGAGAGGAAGAGGAAGGAAGGGCTTCACTTTTCCGTGTTCAGGGGTCTTGCTTTCCTGTTTGGCCTTCCTCCTCCACAGTGGCCACGAGCTGTACCAAAGCTCTCAGAAGACCTGAACTAACATCTTGGAGTAATTTTGTTTCTTGGATTGCAAGTGGGACTCATGTTGGGAAGGTTGACTTACAGAGTTCTGTTTTGCTTTTTTACACCACACTTCTATATTTTAGGATATTCTTACTGGAGTGCAATGTGAGAGAAGTGCGAGTCGCTGTGGCCACCATTCTGGAGAAAACCCTGGACAGTGCCTTGTTTTATCAGGACAAGGTCAGCCTCATGTTTAAATTTCTATTTATACATTCTGTTTTTACCAAAAGTATAAAATGGCCATAATAAGAAAGAGAACCTAGGATTGCAAGCTGGTAATTTCTCCACATAAAATGTACCCTCTGTGAACTGACTTTGTGATGAATGCCAAGTAGAAGGCATTCTGACTTTTCCTCCTCTTACCCCAAAAACCAAGGTAGGCCAAGAACTGAGGTCTGCGTTGGTCTGCTTCAGAATTTTCTCTCTAGAACACTCTCTTTTCAAAGTCTTCTCTCAATAGTTTGTATTTGATCTCTACACTGAGGCTAACCTGAGTTTAGAGGCTCTCGTCTAGATCCTTAGACATTTTGAGCCACCCCTGGCTTTGTCTCTTTCCTCATGAGCTATTTTTATGACCTAAACCTGCAATTGGCAACCAAACCAAATACTGCTATTCGTTCAGGGTCATTGGCCAAAATAGTTCCTTCATTGGTTTTCATTATTCTCTAATCTGTTTTGTTCCTCTGAATTTCTTCTTTTTCTAACCTGATTTTCTGTAACATATTTTCTGGTTCAAAATTCTACACATGCCAAAACAAGCCAGGGTATTTATTACCATCCTCAATCCCCAAAGATTTTAAGACCTAGGGAAATAAATGACATATGTTGTAAGTCTGATTATTCAATCTGTTAAGTGCTAGCAAATACAGCAGTTACTTCCCAAGTTTGCTGTTTCAAACAGCTGACACTACATGGAAAACTTTGAAAAATGTTATTTTCAAAACTAATTGGCTCCTTAAACATTGGCTGGAGGCAGTGTGTCTCAATGAACTAAATGCAGATTCTAAAAATTGCTGCTTCAAATACAGTTGTTAACTTTGTGATGCAACCTTGAGCGTGTTCTGTAAGGGAGATGTTTAATCCAGATACAGTGCCTGACACCCAAGCACTTGGTTCCTTCAACATTGCCTGACCCAGGGAGCTCTGCTCAGTCCAGAATGAACAAAGAGGTCGAATATGCCCCTTAGGAAGGGCCCAGAAGACTGTCTCTCAATTCAGGATTTATAAGGAAGTCGAGGTTTACTCTAAGGCATTGGTTTTCAATCAGCTTAAACAGCAGAACCATTTTCCAAACAAAACCTTACCTGAGTGCAGAACATATAAACTAGGTCATTGGGAGTTGCTTAGGACAGTTTGGAGACCATTGCTCTGAAATACTCTGTGGAAGTTGTGTAAGACATTTAGCATGAGGACCTTCTCATTCTCCTTCCTCCCGTGCAGCAACATAGACAAAAGATAACGATAGAGTTAGTGCAGTTTCCCTACAGATGGGGTCAGGCCACACCATCACCCCAGTGACCTCTGAAGGCAGGACTGCAGGTGGTAGGAAGGGAAGGAGTGGTGGTGCAGGGCGTAAACATGGAAGCGTTTGCCTCAGTAAATTCTATTGAATATCCAGATCCAGCTGATGCATTTTATGTCAGTTTTTCCCTCATAATGGAAATGGTGCCTCTTGCCATCCACTCTGTATTGGAAAGTACTTTGAAAGTTAAGTGCTATGTAAATGCTAGATTTTATTGTACTTATACTGATGTGACAGGATGGTTGGGAGTATTTTAAAAGTCTCTGGACACCATCTTCAGAGGAAATAAATCAACAGAAATAGTAAGAGTAAGCTTGGTCTTCATTCTCAGATCACAGATGAATTTCTAGGAACTTGTCCAACAGCAGTTGGGTGGGAGGGAAAGAAGAAGCAATGTGATAACCAAAATGGTTTCTAAATAAATAAAATGTTTTTCAAAGCTTTCCATGAGGCGTCAGCGGGCTTTCAAGTAAGTTCCCAGTTGAGTGGATATTGCCGTTGTCATTCTGTCAGGCTGTGCTCTCCATCTGCTCCATCGGCTTGGTTTCTAGCCCCTATGCCTGTGTCTGTGTTTTTATTCTTTGCATCTGTGATTATGTAAAGAAGTAGCATAGTGGAGGGAGGGACTCAGAAATAGGTTTCCTCTAAGCACCCCCACCCTTTTTCTAAGAGACAGAAAAATTGGATCTACAGAAAATGTGCCCATTAGGCAGTAGAATCATGCCCTTGACTCTGAAATCTAGGAGACAAAACTAGGCGTTCCTTTGAAGTATTTCTATAGTACCAATCTTCCCCTAGCAGGTAAAATTGAATCATTCTGTTTTTGCTCTCCAAAGCATAAATCCATCTGAATCTGAGACTGGATTGTATCAACCAGATTTTCCTTTTGTTCTTCTGGTGACTTACTTCAAATTAATCCTGTTGCAAATGTCTGTCTTACATGGTTTTTCTTTATGTAATCTCATCTTTCCTCTGACCAGTTAAAAAGCCTTCACCAGTTACTGGAGGTACTACTTGCTCTGTTGGATAAAGATGTCCCAGAAAATTGTAAAAACTGTGCTCAGTACTTTTTCCTGTTCAACACTTTTGTACAAAAGGTAAATGATTTTTTTCTAATATATTTTCATAACACAGAAAATTTATAGTCTAAAGGAATTTTATACATGGAAAAATATAGACTGGTCAATATTGAATTTATATGATACGGTCTTATGGCTGTTTATTCTTTAAAATCTTAATTCAGGGATTATATTACTTGCAGGAAGTTGGATACAGGTAAGTGTACACTCATTGACAGCAAACGTCTGCATTAAAACTAGTATCTAATTATGTGTTCTGTAGCCTTTGTGAAGCAATGTGAGGCTATTGGAACTCAAAAGAATTTTTTTAATTAGGTTTTTAACAAATATTTTTATATGTAAACTAGAGGCCTGATGCACGAAATTGGTGCAAGAGTAGGCCTTCCTTCCCCCCGCTGCCGGCACCGGCTTCCTTCTGACACCTAGGACCCGGGCTTCCCTCCTGCCACAGACAGGCACCTGCCTTTGTGAAGCAATGTGAGGCTATTGGAACTCAAAAGAATTTTTTTAATTAGGTTTTTAACAAATATTTTTATATGTAAACTAGAGGCCTGATGCACGAAATTGGTGCAAGAGTAGGCCTTCCTTCCCCCCGCTGCCGGCACCGGCTTCCTTCTGACACCTAGGACCCGGGCTTCCCTCCTGCCACAGGCAGTCACCTGGACCCGGGCTTCCCTCACAGCCCCAGTTTCGCCCAGAAGGACGTCTGGTCTAATTAGCATATTATGCTTTTATTATTATAGATAATTATAGATTATAGCATTTTAAAACTTACTCCTTAAAACTTCTCATTTAACTGTTTTTAAAACTGATTTTTGTCTGGATAGGAATATAATTTGTCGTTCTCAATATCTTGTGACAGCAAGGTATTAGGGCTGGAGACCTCCTCCTGCGGCATTCAGCTCTGCGACACATGATCAGCTTTCTCCTGGGGGCCAGTCGCCAGAACAATCAGGTAATGCTGCTTGCCAGCCCCCTCGGTAGCCATGGTTTTGTAGTCACTTTACTTCTCTGTGTAGGTGATAAATATTTTTAATCTCATAAGAGTCCAGGTACTAATACTATATCGACTTTAAAATTCTTTATAGTTCAATTATTTTTACAGCTTTTCTCAGAATTCCCTAATAATAACAACCCATGGAAATGACTAACTAGAGTATCAATTAAAATGTGAAGTATTATAGCAGCAAAGATGGGTCCTGATGGGGGGATTCAAAACCCTGCGAGTCTAGTGCTGCCAGCAAGGCTGTTCGGGTGGCAGTCACTTCCGGAATGCTGATAACAGGGCCAGAGTTCACATGTGAAATTGTACTGTTATACACTGTTATATCCTCCTGCAGGTTTACTACTGCTCATATTCAGAAAATGGAGGGAGCTTGTTTTGTAATAATCGAGTTAGGTATATGTGAAAATTGGCTCTCCTGTTGAAGTTTCTATATTGGCGTGTTTCTCCCATATTTCTTTTGTTTGATAGATTTAAAATGAAGGTGAAGTAATGATGAATGCTATTTATAGAGCTCCTGTTATATACTAGACACAACTGGTCCTTTGATATGCCATATCACTGATACAGTTCAATAAACTAGGCAGTTTCATCCTCATTCTCAGGCGAGAATTACAGCACAGACAAGTTCAGTGACTTGTTCAAGGTCACCGAGCTAAAGTGTTGTGGAGTGGGATTCAGACCCAGTTCCGGTGTCCCCTGAATGGAACGCATCGCATAGGAGTTTTCGTTCCTTTATAAGGGGGGACAGACATGCTGCTCCGGCCTCCTCAGGTTCCAATCTGCACCGTGCTTCTCTCACTCGTCAGTATTAGCAAGCAAGCTCTGGCCCCATAGCCTGCTCAGTGTAAGGATATCATGTTGAAATTTACAATCTCCATTTTTCACTCAAGCTCTTTTGTTTCAAGGACTCCTGTTTTTTTGCATTTATGGAGCCCATAGCATTGAAAACATTTTCACTTTTAAGGTTTCATTTGGTTTTCACAGCCATGAGTGGCCAGAGCAGGTGGGTTATCTCCACCATTACACCAAGAGGTTAGTCAGTGTTACCATAACGTGCCCACACCCACACAGCATAGTAAATGGGGGTGGGGGGCCAGAGGGCTGGGCCCCCAGGTCACCAGCCTCATGGGTTTTCCCCATTACACTGAGGTACAGGGAAATTGCCTGGCACATAGTGAACACTCGATACCTAACTTAGAATACACGAATGGGTTCATTTCAGAATGTGAGTTAATTGTCTGAGGGGAAAACACTGTTAAGCTAGCTCAAAACCTATGGCTTTTTGTACTTTGACCTCTTTTGCTATCAAATATTGAGAAATAATTGTGGCCCAAATTATCATGAACCAGCAGGTCCTTTCCCTCCCTCGCCATGTTATTTCTAATCAAAACACAAACGTCCACTTCATGTTCTCTGACCACAGATACGGCGATGGAGTTCTGCACAAGCACGAGAATTTGGGAATCTTCACAACACAGTGGCATTACTTGTTTTGTATTCAGATGTCTCTTCCCAGAGGAATGTTGGTGAGCTTAACATATCTTTAGTACATCGGAAAAATGTAATGATACTGAATTTGTCAGTAGTGCATGGAGGGTAATGTTAGCAATTAAATGGATATTACTTGTTCCTCATTTGGCTACTTGATATTGTTTTAATTCCTGTTAAACTTCACTTTATTTTACTAGTTTGTCACAAGGGAAAGTAAATCATTTATTTGGGGACAGGGGTATGTGAGTTTTAAAAAGCCTTTAGAATCAAAGACCAATTCGGAGTTCATTCATTACCATGATTGGCACAACTGATGTAGTGGTAAAATTGCCTTTGTGTGGGTTAGTTTCCTCGCTGTGTGAACTTGCCCAGGCCATCTGGCCCTCTGATTCTCAGTACGAAATGGAAATACTAAAAACATAACCCCACAAGTATATTGAGGATTAATGAGATAAAGTATTAAAGTACTTTGTAAAAACAAAGGGATTTATTTCAGCTGTACATTAAGTCATTGAAATGCATTTGAATATATGATGTAGCTGGTAACATTTACTACTTGGTCACCTATACCCAGTAGTTCAGTCCTCATTTAATAAAGCAGAGACGCAAATTGTCCTATATAGTTATCCAAAGCCACTGAAAAATATTCAGTGTTTTCTGTGTACTGTGCCTGTCCATAGTCCTTTTAGTTCATCAGTTGTGTTCATAATCCCCTCAGCAAACCTGTGAGAGGGATATTACCCCTTCTGTAAATGAGGAACTAAGATACAGAGGGTGTAGTAACTGCACAAGTCCACAGCTAGTAAGTGGCATAGCAGCCAGTGTGTGAATGCAAGCCTCTGACCCAGAGGCCGTGGTTGGGTTTCAGTGTTGTATGACCAGTAAGATCTGAACACCAGAAACGAGATAAAAATCACAGCGCATCACTCTGATCCAGCAATGCTTATTGACCCTCTAATGCAGCGGTTCTCAACCTGTGGGTCGCGACCCCTTTGGGGGTCGAACGACCCTTTCACAGGGGTCGCCTAAGACCATTGGAAAACACATATATAATTACATATTGTTTTTGTGATTAATCACTATGCTTTAATTATGTTCAATTTGTAACAATGAAATTGGGGGTCACCACAACATGAGGAACTGTATTAAAGGGCCGCGGCATTAGGAAGGTTGAGAACCACTGCTCTAAAGGGACTTGGGGAGCACTTGGATGGTTTGAGGTAGAGTTTGCTTCCTAAATCTGACTCATTCATCTAAAAAGACAAAGCTGCCTAAACTTGAGTTGAGATAGGTTTGTAGAAGAAAATAGTGTGAGTTCTTGTTTTTCTAGCAAAAGGAATAACTCCTTCCATGTGGGTTAATTCTGCTTAGCATAGGTGGTGTTTGAGGAACACAAGGGTCTTGTCCAGTGTCTATTCAGAGTCACATTGGGCATTTTTTCCACATACGATTTATATTTTTACTTCTTTGAAAGATTGTCTAGAGAGCTTACTAGTCACACCTACAACTTAGGCAGACATTGAAATAAGTAGGTAAACATTTCTCCTGTCTCCAAGTCTGGCTTCCTCCCCGGACTGTGAGAGAGCATGTTGTGAGTACTCAGCAGCTGTGTGTGTGAAGCTTGCGGGAATGAATGGCTTTGCGTTAGAGATGTCTGTTTCATGAAATTGCGTCAAGTGAGACAGGCTTTGTTTCTCTGGTCTCCTGAAGCTCCTGGGGTATTTAAACAACGGCCACCTATCAGCATTGCTCCTTCAAGCCCTCTGCTGCCCCTCCACGAGGAAGTAGAAGCCTTGTTGTTCTTGTCTGAAGGAAAACCTTACCTTTTGGAGGTATGTCCTTGTTCTCCTAAAGCCATTTTTCTCTTTATTTCTCCCATTGAGGAAAAACACCTTTTGTTATTTGTTATTAGTTATATTTTGATAAAAAAGGGTATTGTTAGGAGAAGAAATTATTCTTTCACATTAATTTTTCTTCCTATGTATATGTCAGAAGGAAATAATCGGTTGAAGAGAATGTTATTAGTCCTTTCTTCAATCTCTCAAATGGACTTGGACCTCCAGGTTCGGCCCAACTAACTACCCCTCTAGGTCCCAGTAGGTAAATGGCACCTCACCAATCACAATTACTCAGTTTAATATCAGAGGTTTTGTTCCCAGTCTCATATGTGTCCCCGATCCTAAAATACTACAACTCTGAGGCACATACGTTTTTTAAACCTCAGGAGTATGGAAGTGGGGTGCTCACAGCACTGTGTGGCCTGCCTGCAGTCTCATCTCCTCCCCTTCCACTCAGAGCTGCCCCTTCTTGAGAATGTAATCTTCCAGTCCTTCCATAACTTGATTTACATAGATATGAATCCATGTGTCATACTGGTTTTGTAACTACATTAACAGTGCTATGCTACATACCTTTTTTAAATTGAACATTGTGTATTTTGGGGATCTATCAGTAATTACTTTAATTTGAAGAGGGCATTTACCTTTGAAAATCTGATGAAAGTGACTCAGGAAAAAGGTGCACATTTGCACAAAATTGTGTTAAATGTCAGGCAAACCTAAACACCCTGAAATCTATCCATGGAGCTCTAGCAGTGAAAGCAGCCCTATTTTGAGGCAGTGTTGATGATATTAAATCTGAGTCTGTTTCAGTCAAAGCCAGAAACAACCTATTGACAGTTAGCTGACAGGAGCGCTTCTCCTTTCGTCCCTCGCACCAGGTGATGTTTGCTCTGCGTGAGCTGACGGGTTCGCTCCTGGCGCTAATGGAGATGGTGGTGTACTGCTGCTTCTGCAACGAGCACTTCTCCTTCACTATGCTGCACTTCATTAAGGTAGGGCTCCGCTGGCCTGGTGACGGCTGGTGGCCTTCACTCCCAGTTAGCATGCTGCTTCTAATACCGTCATTGGTTTTCCTAATCATAAAAATAATGTAGGCTCATTTAAGGAAACAACTCAACCCTGGCCAGTTTGTTCAGTGGTTAGAGCATCGGCCCAAAGACCTTCAGGATCATAGGTTTGTATCTCGGTTGCAGGCTCAATCCCCGGCCCCAGTCAGGGCGAGTACAGGAGGCAGCCAATCAATCTGTCTCTCACATCGATGTTTCTCTCTGTCTCTCCTCCCTTCTACACTTTTCTAAAAATCAGTGGGGGAAAAAACCTCCAGTGAGGACTTAAAAAAAGGAAAAGAATTCAATAGCCTGTCATTCACTGACAGTCACCATGAACATTCCCTTATATTTCCCTTTTATTTTCTACACACGTATTTTAACATAACTGGGATTTTGTCTTTATGATTTTGTGAGGGTTTTTTGCTTAACATTATAAATATTTTCCATATTACTAAAATGTATCTGTGGGTATAATCTTTCATCCTCTCATTACCATGATTGACCTGACCATTCTCCTACCAGCAACACGTTTGCGTTCAGTTCAGTTTTTAACTGTTAAGAATAATACTTTATAGTTAATAACGCTGTGCGACCATTACTATGTAAAATGTTTTCCAATTTCATATTAAATGCCCTCCCCATTTTAAAAATCAGAAGTAGGGTTTTCTCACCTAAAAAGGTGATACAGTTCCTTATGAAGCTCTGGTCAGTATGCTAATTACTGCTACCGCTGTGGCACTTACTGGATGCCAAAGCACTGTTCCAAGCAGAGTACATATTTAGCTCACTTAATTCTCAAGTAGTCCTATCAGGCAGATACTATTGTCAGCATTTTATAGTTCGAGAAACTGAGGCACAGGGTAAATAACTTGCCCAGGGTCTCAACTAGTAAGTGGCAGAGTGGGAATTTGAACGTGGGCAGTCTGGCTCCAGGGCTGTGCTCTTAACCATATTGTTTACTGCCTTTCTAGGGATTACTAGAAAAACCTGTAAGCCTACACAGATCATTTTTATTAGTTACTAATCTTTAATAACATGGATAATACATGGCTGCATTCTCTGACAACACCAACCGATCTAGCCCCTCTCCTCCCCACCCCAGGGACCAATATGCCACATTGGTATGGGTCCTTCCAGGCTTCTTTCTGTAAATTCATACCATGTGTATTCGTTTCTGCCCACAAAATTTCTGCAACACCCTGTTACCTGCACCAGGATTTATAATAGTGATACAGGTAGTGCTGACAAGTAGCAGGTGGTTAGTGGGTTATGCCTTCAGACTCTTATTAAAATGTTCTGCCCTGAACCTGTTCTGTGCAGACCTATGTCAGAGGTGACTGCGTTCCTCCCTTTAATGTTCACTGATTGTGACTTCAGGCAGTTTTCCTCCTCTCACAGTGGGAGGGAGTGTGACTTGACCTCACAGGTGGTGGGGAGTCCGTGAGGCGTGGAGAGAGATGCTCGCTTAGTGCCAGCCCTGACACCGGGAAGTGTGGTGTGGTGATGCAGGGTCCTACCCCTTCCATGTATCTGTGTGAGGCTGTTAAAATGCACACAGGAATGAGTCTCTGAATCTTACTTTCTTCACAGGTGCGTCTTGGCAGGTTTTTCTGTTTCGTAAACCAGATTTTCTTCCATACTCCACTCAGCATACTTATCTCAGAGCATACTCATTTGCATTCTCATAGCAACAGCAACATATTCTGGAAAACAAAATAGGATATGTATCAATGAAATTAAAATGGGGACCTCTTTAGTGACTTCACATTCTCTTCTTTCTGCCCTTCCTCCTCTCTCCTTCCTAACCACGGAGCGTTGCAGCTGGGAGGACCACAGAGGAGGTGGTTTGTTTCAGTCCCAGATTTAGCATTTGGGGAAACTGAGGCCCCCAAAGAGAAGAATTGACTTGGCCAAGGTTAGCCAGATAGAGGTGGAACTAGGGCTTGAATCTGACATTGTTGACTGACACACCAATGTGCTTTCCGCTGAAGACTTACTGGAATTTTCTTTTTAAAAACATTTCAGAACCAACTAGAAACAGCTCCACCCCATGAGTTAAAGAATACCTTCCAACTACTGCATGAGATACTGGTAAGTCATACATGTTCTGATTCACTTGTATTTAGGCATGTGTTAGCCAGCATTGTTTATAAATTAAAAGTTGCCTGTCCTTGTATTGTTTTTCCATTCTTATCCTGCACTTACTGAGTCCTCCTCGTAGCAGTCTTTTTTTGTGCAATACTGATTTACAGGTGAGCAATAATAAAACCTTACCTTATAGGGGCTCGTGGTTTCGTGAGGGAGCTAGACAAGTACACAAGCAGTTGTCGTACAGAGAGCAGAGGAGCAGTGGATGGCTCTGCTGTGGCTAGGGGGCTGTGCTAAGCACAAGTATTATCTTGTTTAACCTCACAGTAACCTCAGGGAAATTGCTGGCTCTATATTTCACTCCTATCTGATGTACCCTTGATTGTCTTTATACTACTAGAAATATTTTTACAAGCCATGAAACTGAAATGTAATTGACTGTAGGATGCATCTCAATTTTGGAAATATAAAAAATGGGGGAAATTCAGTTATAATCAACAAAGTACCATATCACATTAGAAATTAGAACTTGGAGAAGTGGAGTGATTTGCCTAAGACCAACCTCTGATAAATCACAAAGCCAGGATCTGAGCCATGCAGTTAGCCCCTTCCCCCCACCAAACCCCTGGATTGATTGCTCAGTGAGCTGGAAGGAGGTATATGACTAGGAGTGGAGCTGAGTGGGGTGTGGGGTGTGGGAAAGAAGCCCAAACCAGAGCATGCAAGGCTCAGGGACCAGTGAGGGGACCTCTTTCTATAGGCAGTGGCTGCACACTGCAGCCTGGAGGCACGTCCTGTCCATTTGCCTGTTTTATATGGCCCATGTGGTTTTGTTTTCTGATTTCTAGATACAGCCTATCTTGAGAAAGCCACTAACCTGGCCTCATTGGTCCCATGTCCTGCAGGCCACTGTCACCTAGAGCAGCAGCAGCCTGCCCTCTTTGCTGGGGCACAGGACCTCCAGTTCCCTGCTGCCCTCGCTGCTCCTTATTGTCTCTTACTTTGCCCATTTTGCTCATTTCTTGTCATCCTAGTCTCTAGACCAGCCGTGGGCAAACTACGGCCCGCGGGCTGGATCCAGCCCGTTTGAAATGAATAAAACTAAAAAAAAAAAAAGACCATACCCTTTTATGTAATGATGTTTACTTTGAATTTATATTAGTTCACACAAACACTCCATCCATGCTTTTGTTCCGGCCCTCCGGTCCAGTTTAAGAACCCATTGTGGCCCTCGAGTCAAAAAGTTTGCCCACCCCTGCTCTAGACATTTAAGTTTGCAACCTCTGCTGTCAGTGATGGGCGCCATGGACAGATTTTAAGCAGGAAAGTTCTGTGGCCTTATTTATGTTTTAGAAAGATGCCCTTGGCAGTTGCTTTGAAGGATGGACTGAAGGAGGAAGCAGGGTCAGTGTTGGAAGACTTACACAGAAGCGTATGACAGTAATCTGAGTGTGAAATAACAAGGCCTGTGCTGAGGCAAGACCAGCATCGAAGGGGACAAAGGACATGTCAAGAGATGCTTTGGAAAGAAAATCAATAGAATTTGGGGACTGGTTGTGAGCTAGTGAGAAAGACTAGCCCAGAAGCTCCTTAAAGTGTGGGAGGAGGGACAGGGTTCCCTTTAGGTCCCTAAGACTTGGTGTAGGCCTATGGGCCTTGGCACAGGGTAGGCATTTAATCAGTGCTTCCAAATAAGGAATTACACCATGAATGCCATTTATAGAAAGCCCGGTCCTTTCTCCTGGTGCTTTTACAAACTTTGGAAGCTTTGCTCCTCAGAAGCAGGGCTGCATATTGTTCATCTGCTCGGCAACAAACCTGTCAAGTTGGCTGCACTGTGCACAATCGGGTGTGAGGCACTAGACCAGCGGTTCTCAACCTGTGGGTCGCCACCCCTTTGGCGGTCGAACGACCCTTTCACAGGGGACGCCTAAGACCATCCTGCATATCAGATATTTACATTACGATTCATAACAGTAGCAACATTACAGTTATGAAGTAGCAACGAAAATAATTTTATGGTTGGCTCACAACATGAGGAACTGTATTTAAAGGGCCAGAAGGTTGAGAACCACTGCTCTAGACGCACAGTGACAGTAAGACAGTTCCTGCCTGTGGACTTGCAGAGCCTGTGTTGTAGCAAAACTGACAGTTTGGTAAACAGGTTAATCTGTAAACCTCTCACCCTCAGGATCATGAAATATACATCCTTATAACCCACAGAGAACGGTAGGTGTTGGTAAGAGCACATTGATAAGAAATAAATGGATCTTCAGATATTACTCAGTAGCTTTTCATCTGTAGTTTAAAATGTAAGATGTTGAGATATATGGCAGCGACATGATATTTGTATTGGGTTTTGTTAAGTTAGAACCTATTGAATTATTTTTTAAAAAAAGAGGCACCAGTGGCTATAACCTAAGTTCTTCTTTCATTTACCAACTTGTTTCCTTCCTCTCACAGGTCATTGAAGATCCCATACAAGTAGAGCGAGTCAAATTTGTGTTTGAGACAGAAAATGGACTACTAGGCAAGTATGCCCGGCCTTAACGGGAAGTGTCAGCAGTGAATGTGCAGGTAGCCAGTCTTCTCCCTAATGGGTCTGCCTCCCGCCTCCCCAGTCCATCTCCCACACCAACCCCGCGTCCCTGGCATACATCAGTGAGGAATCCAACAGAAGTCTGATTAAGGCATTGGGTTCCCTCATTTTGGTCGTGAGAATTAAAACCAGCGACCTGATCGTCCTGGACACTCTCCTACCTTTAGTCAGTAAAGTGCAACTTGGGGTCCTTACTGGGTTAGGAGAGAGTCAAGGGTGCTGTGACTTTTCAACAAGTTAAAGGCACTTTCCAAGGCAAGAAACTTTCATTCCACTCTATAGCCATTGGTGTGGAAAACTAAAACCTCAGGCTCAGGATGTTGTCAAACTCAGGAAATGTGATTGTTTTTCGCCTGTGGTATAAATGCACCCAAATTTCTATTGTCTGTTCACAAAAGGTTTTGGGCAGAGTTTTTCTTTTGAGAAGGCTGAAGTGGCTTTAGTGAGCAATTTATTAGAAAAGGTTTGGTTAAAAATAGTCTTCTCCAACTCCCACCATCCACCTGTATTTCCAGTTAATCGGAGTCATTTCACATTCTGGTTATGTATTAAGAAAAGATTTAGGACCTCCTTTATTTTAGAAAAGAAACGTAAGTTTAAAAAGTTCTATAGCTGCAACGCTCTAGACCACCCCTTGGATGGTGGGCTCTACTCAGAGCTTCCACCCAGGCTCTGAACTCCCAGACCAGGGGTACACTCCCCAGGAGCGGGGCCAAGTATTATTCATCTTTCAATCCCCAAAGCCCAGAGCAGGGACTCTTTGGTGAACTGAACTAAGACCGTAAGTTTCCATTTATCACACTAACAGTGTTCTAACTACTCTCTGTCAGCATTGTGGTGGGCGGAAAAGCTTGGAGTTCTCTAGGTGAATAATCAGCCAATATAAATCTTAGCTCCACCTGTTTCTCCTAAAAGTCAAACTCACGCCACCACGTATGTTTCTTGAATACTACTTAGTATTTCTACCCTTTAGAATCTAGGGGATCCTCTTGAGTCAGCACCATGCTTTTAATTTAGGTCTTTATCTGTTTGTCAGAGTAGATTGTTGTAAGTTTTCAGAACAGGAGACCCATTTTCATTTTAATGGTTCATTGTTCAAATATTCTCTTCTCTCCCTTCAGCTCTGATGCACCACAGTAATCATGTGGACAGCAGTCGCTGCTACCAATGTGTCAAATTTCTGGTAACTCTTGCTCAAAAGTAAGTATTGATTCAAAAATGAAGAGAGGAAATGGTTACAAGTCAAATATGACCAGAAAAAAACCTGCCTTGTGTTAGTACCTGGAGAGTGTGCCTCAGTCAGGGCGTGATTGCTTGGATGGCACAGAAACCTATGCAGGTGATCTCAGAGAGATGTGAAGGGAAGTGTTAAAAGAGGAACAGACCTTACAGAACCCGAGAGAAAAAGCTAACCCACAAGGCTTTGTGCAGGAAGGGTGGGAATCAAGGTGGGTGAGCCTCCTCTCGAGAGGCTTTCATAGTGTAGCTACAGCTCTTTCGGCTCTAGGTCCCCACTTTCGTAACAGTCTCTCGAGACAGAATCCTATTAGAGTTGCTTACACTTAATTCAGACACAGTGCTAAATACTTTGCCTATATTCTCATTAGTCTTTGCAATAGCTGTGAGGTTACGGACTGTTATATGTCCCGCGTCACAGGTGCTGTCAGAGCTAGGCTGTCTGCTTCAAGCAAAGGTTCTCTTTTCTTTTTGCTTTAGTTGTGGTAAAATGTACCATTTTTAGGTGTAAGTTCAGTGGCACTAAGTACATTCACATTGTTGTGCAACAAACACCACTATCCCATCTTCAAAACTTTTGAATCTTCCTTCCCAAACTGAAACTCGATATCCATTAAACATTAAACAGTAACTCCCCATTCTTCCACACTCTAGCCCCTGGAAAACATCATTCTACTTTCTCTCTCTATGAATTTGACTACTCTGGGTACCTCATATAAGTGGAATCATCCAGTATTTGTCCTTTTGTCACTTAGTATGATGTCCTCAAGGATTTATCCGTGTTGTAGCATGTCAGAATTTTCCCCCTTCTTAAGGCTAAATATTTCATTGTGTGGATAGACCACATTGTGCTTATCCATTCATCTGTCAGTAGACTCGAAATGCAAAGGTTCTCGATGTTACAAGCGACCTTAGTGGTTTGCTACGTTAGTTCCCTACTTAGTACAAGAGCAAACAAAAGATCAGAGTAACTGCAAGATGACCAGGGGTATTGAGCAGACTCCACTGCCATCTCTGAGTCTTACCTGATGGAGCCTTCTTCATAGCTTACTTTATTTTGCTCCAGATTTTTGCTGATTCTTAGGCATGGGTATTGCTATCCCTGAACTTGTACCAAAATAAGAATGAGAAATCTGTTTGGCTTAATCTGCTGTATTTGAGCATCCTAAACAGATATTAATGAGAACCTCACTGAAATAATGCATGAACATACGTTTCCATATGACATAGCATTGTGGACAGAGATGGCGATCATCCAGCCACAACTGTGCGTTCATTAATTAGACTTGATATTGGCAGCATGTTATCGTTAAGTACTTGCCTAGGAATGGCATTTCCAAGTACAGTGGGGCCTTGGCTTACAAGTTTAATTCGTTCCGTGACGGAGCTCGTTAAGGAGCTCGTTAACTCAAATTACTCTGTCAACTCAAAGCAAAGAATCAGCAGAGAGATGGCTCTTATCTCGAAAAAAATCGTTAGTCGGGACACTTGTAAGTCAAGGCCCCACTGTAGTGTTGGGGCCACATAGTATATCTGCTGCCAGCAGACACTTAGTCCAGATTCCAGTGTCTATGTATACTTTCATATCCTTCACACATCTGTTTTATATACACTCACTAGTGGCAACATCACCATCAGAACTATCTTCAAATACGAAGGACAGCTTCCCAGAAAGTCAGATAAAACTAGAAAAAGAGAGGGTGGCTATAAGATCATGTTTAAATATAATATGCTTCCTTATTCAGGTCACAAATATTTAAGATTAATTTGATTCTAGCAAGAGGTCATTTATTAAATGCACTATTTGCTGTGGGGGTTTTATTTTTCATTCTTCAATTGTGAATTTTAATAGAACTGAGTAGATGAGTTAGAGATAGATGAGACTTTTCACTACATATTTACCTTTCATTGCCTTTTGTATAAAGACAACTGAACTTTAATGAAAGGAGCATTTGTGTTTCAAAATAAAAAGGGTGCTGCAGATTAAATAAGTACCTCTGCAAAGAACGCATTTGGCTAATAGAAATCTCCGATGGCCAGGTGTCCCGCTGCTAAAGAGTACTTCAAGGAGAACTCCCACCACTGGAGCTGGGCTGTGCAGTGGCTGCAGAAGAAGGTAATGCATTGTGAGCCTTCTGGTGCTGACGTAGGAATAGTAGGAGCACGTCTTGTCAGGGAAGACTCTCAAACTTAATTTGAAACAGGTCTCAAAGTATTTTCAGTCTTCAAACCTTTTTTAGTACCGTTGATACCTATTTTTATGCTTTAAATTTGCATCTTAATACATGCGTCTTAGCTTTATAGGTGAGAAAGTGGGGAAGATTGTGTAAGAAGTAGAATTTTACGAGCTCTTGAGAGTGGAAGTGAAATTTTCCAGGAAAGACTCTCCTGATGTGATAGAAGGGCTGGGTAGACGTATATACTACTGTAGGTGCTTTATATCTGCTATCTAATGGTAGAAATCGTGGGTTCATGTGGGCTTGTCTGTCACCTCTGATGCATTTCTGACCTCCTGTCTCAGATGTCAGAACATTATTGGACACCGCAAAGCAATGTCTCTAATGAAACATCAACTGGAAAGACTTTTCAGCGGACGATTTCAGCTCAGGTGAGGGTTGTCTTCTGATTTTGTGTGGCTTGGAATCCCTTAGGTAGGATTTTTAGTATGTTTCTCAGAAACAGCAGCCTCAGAGAAGAGAGGAGGTATAGGTTGAAAATGAGAAGGGGCAAAAGAAATGATTGAATTTCTATGAAAAGATAACACATTGGTGTGCAGTTCACAAATTATAGAAGAAAAGCCATATGGGTGGGTCAGTCCAGCCCCCACATGGCCCAGAAGTTGAGGGGTGCTCTGGGGGCTGCCATGAAGACACCACCCTTAAGGCTCCTGGTGCCTCTAAAGGTCAAATGAAGGGTAGTCTTCCTTGGCAATGTCACTGCCACTACCCACTCCCTGACTTTTCCTTCTGTTTGAATCCCCGAAGGACACACTAGCGTATGCCACCGCTTTGCTGAATGAGAAAGAACAGTCAGGGAGCAGCAACGGGTCGGAGAGCAGCCCCGCGAATGAGAACGGAGACAGGCACCTACAACAGGTATGATGGTGTCCCCATGTGGAAGGGCAGCGCTCGCTCTGGAGTTTCCCAAAACCAATTTCATAAACAAGAGAAAAGGAGCCCCAGCTCCATCCTCAGTGCTCTCTGCGCAGGACCCACTCCCAGTGCCCACAGGGAGGAACAGTGCTACCATGTGGGAGGCCTGCCAGGCTTTGACCTCAATGTGTGGCTCGCTGTTCTAAGGAGGCCACAGCGGATTCGTTCCAGCTTGTCGGCCTCACTGCCGGCTGAGAACATCACCTCCAGCTTTTGCTTTCACCAGCCTCCAGGAAGCATGGACCCTTGAGAGAGGGGCCTCATGCCGTTGAAATCTACCTACTTATTGGGGAGTCAAAGAACAATTTTACGCTGACTTTAAAAACCAACAACATTTCTAATACTAATTACTATAGTAAAAAAGGAATGAAATGTTTTATTAAACATCTATGTGCAGAATAATGGAGCAGGGGTGAATGTGATGACGTGTCTGTGTCTTCCCTCCACTCTGACCTTCCAGAAGGGCAGTCCCCTTGTAGCTCCGTAACAGGGCTTGGCAGAGGCCTCATTAAATGAATCCTGTGGATGTTGTAGAGTCTTTTTTCTTTTTAAGCTCTCGGATCCTCATTGACAACCTTGTGAGGTCACTGTTACCTGATTTTACAGAAGGGAAACTGAGGCTCGCCTACTTTATTGCAGAGAAAAGAAAAGCTGTCAGACAGGAGCTCCTGCAGCTGCCGCTCCTAGACTCACAGCCCCTGCGAGCCCCTGTCCTCCTCTGTCACGGGGAGGGCTCCCCACCCTGCCATTTTGCCAAAAACCCTGTATTCTGTCTTTTTTCTCTGTGTTTGGTATCTTAAACCTCTTCCTCTCAACAGATCCCTCCCAGTGGTGTTCCGATACACTTGTCTCCCATCCTTTTGAAAAAACTCTCCTCTTCTCTTTTATCCCTGCCCTTTTCCTCTTCTCTGTAGCCTCACTTCTCAAAAAAATAGTCAAAACTTAACTACCTTTAATTTCTAATCTCTCACTCACTCTTCAGCCTCTTCCTGCTCAGCAGCTGGGGTGACCACTGAGCAGTATCTGATGCCACTGACCAGGTCTTCCTTTCTAAACCACTCTCCTGTGGCTTCCATGGCATCGAGATCTGAGTTCTCCGCCGGCTTTTCGGGTGTTTCTTTCTCAGCCTCCTCCATGTCAGTCTCTTCTGGGCCACCAGGAAATGTCCCTCAGTTCTGTCCTCTTCCCCCTGCCCACAGCCCTGGCCGTGGTTCTTCTGAGTGCCAAACACAAACATCCAGCCCCGCCCACAGCTGGTCCTGCTCAGCCTCCTTACTCACACAGCCCCTGCGTACAGGGCCGCTCTTGCTGCAGGCATTTTCACACCCTGTCATTGACCTTTGAAAGACCTCATCCATCAAACATCCAGCCCCGCCCACAGCTGGTCCTGCTCAGCTTCCTTACTCACACTGTTCTGTCGTGTAAGCACCTTAGACTCCTGGGTCTCTGTAAAAATCTGCCTGTGGCCACTCTTGAGTCTCTCCTGCCTTCACTGAACCTTTCAGCAGCCTTCCACTGTTGTTAGGGTGGAGGCAGATCCTCAGCAATCCTCCTTGATTTGGCCCCTGCTTTCCTCTCCCTCTCATTTTCTGACTTCTAGATACAGTGGCCTTTCTGTTCATCAAGTGTACTTCTTCCTTCCACCCCTACTCACCCCTGTCTGACTCCCCCTCAGCGTACACGCCCCTTTGCAGGGAGACTCCCTGCTTCTCCCACCCCCAGCCCCAGCTAGATCAGTCTCAAGACGCATACATGGTTACCATTCAGAACCCTTAGTGTATAGGGTGGGCAACAGTAGGTTTACAGTTCCTGTGGAATATAATAATAAGTAATACAAGTAAACTTTTGCATATTCACAACTGTAAACCTACTTTTCCCCACCCTGTTTAAACCAAAGGCCACAGGATTGGTGAGGGGCAGAATTCAGGCCCAGATGTGACCTAGAGCCATCTTTGACCATTAGGCAGTTTCTGGCCCTGGATGTCAGGGCTCTAGTGCCTCTCCCTGGTTCAGCCCACAGCTCCACAGAGTTCTAATAGGAGCTGTCTGCACTATTGTGTGGCAGCATTGCGGGTTTTATTGCCCTTTGGTAAACATTACGTTGTTAAATGAGGACATGTTTAAACTACAGAACACAGTCAGCATAAAATAGCCTTTTCTCTAACTTCTCAATGAGTGAATTTCCTTTTCTTCCTCTAAGGGTTCAGAATCGCCTATGATGATTGGCGAGTTAAGAAGTGACCTTGACGACGTGGATCCCTAGAGGAGCGTGTCCAGCATACGATGGGGAGTCACATCGCAGTTACTGGATGCTCAGCACCTGTTTGAAACCAGAATCGCACCTTGAACCCTTTAGAAGAACCTGGAAGTGGGCGGGAAGAGCCTGCCAAGGCCTGAGGAGCGTGTGTGAGGAAAGCGCTGTGGCCAGGAGTGGGGCTCTTTTGCAGGGGGAGAGCGCCGGTCTGTGGATCAGCTGCCCCGAGGCAGATCCGCATGTGGGTTAACATTTCTGTGGTGATTTTACGAAATAAACTGTGACAAACTTTTGTTACATGAACATACAACAGTGAGTGAGGGTAAAGCTGTGGCTTTCTCTACGATGCTATAGAAGAAATTCTTTTGGTTTTTATTTTTATTTTTTTAAAGAAATCTGCCTTTAGCTGTGTGGGGGCAAATTTTTAATCTTGTAGTAACATTGATTAGGGATATCAAATTTAAGGTTATGTAAAGATATGTGATAAAATTCCTTTCATTGTAAAATAGTAAAGAATTCAGTTTACACAGACCTTTGTATTTAATATGTCTCCCTATTTGTACAGAATTGCAGATGGGTTTGGATGAGAGCCCTGGGCTTAAACTTGGATCTTGATGAAATATTACCAGGATTGAAAATTGGGAGGTTATTAAGCTATTCAAGGTCTTTTTCCTGATTATAATTGAAGTGCTGTTCCCCAGTGCGCATTCTTGACATGAGTCACTAAAGAAATCGTAAGTTATTCCCAAAATAAAATTTAAAAACAGCAAAATAAGAAGCACTTTAAGGTATAATTTTATTGAGTTTAACTTCATGAAATCATCTTTTTAATGCTTGGAGACATATTGAATAAACTAGTCTTAAATCATGTGATCTGCAATCATTTATTTGCTTTGGATTAAAACAGTTACTGAAACCCTGGGTACTGGTTGTATATGAAGTTAAATATTTGAATTGAGGAATCTTTGTGAGTTTCTAATCATTTTAATGCAGACAAGGAATTTGAGACTTTGTTTCTTTTCAACTTGAGTGATTAACACTGAAAAGATAGGAGCAGGTTTTATTTTCCCAGAAATAACCAGGAAGCAGTTGAACAAGCATCATTTAGTTGGAATTCCCAAGTGTAACACCATTCGGTGCCAGCTCCCCTTTGTCCCAGGGTGGGGTTGCATATTTAACATTCTGTGTATTTTGTACATTTTGTATTTTGAGTTGATACACAGATTTTCCAACCCTGTTTTGCCTTTAGTTACATGTTCTACCTTGTTTTCAACTCACCATGCGCAGAACTAGGGGAGCCTTAGGAAGCGCCAGGTTGCCGCTGTTAGATTTGCCAAGTCAGAGAGGTGTGTCCAGCCCCAAGTGCCTTTGGTGGCTTCTGCATCATGTGACACGTGGCCAGACAGTCAGCTCTTCACTCTGCACTGTCAGCCCCAGTCACGGCACTGCGGCCGACGGAGGTACTGTGCAGCCAGGCCAGTGTGTGACCCTGCACCTGCCTAAAGCTGCTGCTGACAGCCGGTAGATGGAGGAGCCGGCTTTTAAGAGCAGAACTGTGCCCTCGCCCTGGCCGGTTTGGCTCAGTGGATAGATCAGCCTGGAGGAGCCGGCTTTTAAGAGCAGAACTGTGCCCTCGCCCTGGCCGGTTTGGCTCAGTGGATAGAGCGTCAGCCTACGGACTGAAGTGTCCCAGGTTCAATTCCGGCCAAGGGCACATGCCTGGGTTGTGGGCTCAATCCCCAGTAGGGGGCGTGCAGGAGGCAGCTGATCGGTGATTCTCTCTCATCATTGATGTTTCTATCTCTCCTCCCTTCCTCTCTGAAATCAATAAAGAAATATATTTAAAAAAAAAAAAAAAAAGAACTGTGCCCTCAGAAAAATGGTCAGAGGCAGTTTTATATGTTTCTGATGTTCTTGCAATTTTGAATGTGATGTTTTAAAACTGATTTTGAGTATGTGACTATTCCATACCCTACTGTCTTCCTTACCCTGCCCTCCCCTTCTCCACCGCCATCCTCACAGAAAGACTGTGGGACATGACATTGACATGCCGGTGGTGAGATGTGTGGTGACATCATCGCCGGCAGCTGCACTCAGGAGCCCAAATTCAGGAGTGAAATCGCCACTTCTAGTCCCTTATTTCCTATGGAAACAACGCCTTCCGCACCCCAGCACCTGCTGTCCTCACTGTAAAGCTTCGTCAGGACCGCATCAAGATCATGTCACACGCTCTGTTAATTTTGCTCTTGTTGCTGCAATGACTGCCCCTTCCACGTAGCCAGTAACCACTTGATTGCCAACGGCTGCAGCCTGCAAACCTGCTGATGACTTTTTTAATATACAACAAAGCGACAATGTGACAGGCTACCTTGGAAGAGTTGTCGTTTTTATTGCCAACTTTTTTGGATGAAGACGTTTTTATAAATCTTTCAAAAAGTAGGAATTGCACAACTGACTCAATGCTGTGTGTCCTCAAGAAGCTCCCCTGGCGAGGCCCACTGTCGATGCTGCGTCGCACCAGAGGCATTCTGGGAGGAAACAGATGAGCATCCCAGTGGGGATGCCCGTGGCTTCCCTCAAGGTCCCTGGCAGCAAGGACGAGTGGTAGGACCTGGAGGCCATGTCCTGGCAATTGCCCTGTCTTGCCCCCCTCACCCCCTGCTAACATTGAGGTGTGTGCAGTTACCTTCTGAGCTGGAACCAGCAGACTGGAATTGTCCTCTGCTACCTCCTGTGTACAGGATCTTGTTTATAAATGTCAAAAGGAAGTAGATGAACAGGGAAGAATCTTACTTCTAAGTGTGGCTCATGAGTGGCAGAGTTCTTAGCTTCTAAGGGTATAAAATAAATTTTTCAAAAATGGAGAGCTGGAGTCTCACTGGCCTCTTTCTGCGCATGTCAGAGAACAACGCGGGGAGGGCAGGGCCTGGTGTAAACGGCCGCGATTCCTTCCGTCCTTCCTCCTGGCGGTGTGAGTAGGTCCACTCTGGCATCATGAGGGAGCGAAGGAATCATGAGGGAGCCCAAGCTGTTCTAAGCCTTGGCCTCTCTCCTCTGGCCACGTTAGGGTTCTGAAAGCTTGGGGAAGCATGCTGAACTGGGGCTGAGGCTGACAGACGTCTCCCCATAGCTTTCAGGTCTCAAGTGGTCCCAGCAGAAATGTCCTTGGTCAAGCGGGTTTCCTGCTGGACCCCACAGTCTGTCTCCTAAAGCCCCATGTTTGCACACATGTTCCCCTCTCCTGGGTGTTGGCTTCTCCAGATCTTCCTCTTCTGTGGCCACACCCAGTGCTCCCCGCTGCCTACATCTGCAAGAACCAACCGTTTCCTTCTGTGATCGCGGGCTGTCAGGGTGTAACTACCCAGCCAACTGGCACTTGGTTCTGTGCCATCTAGGGGGTTGGGGGCTCTCTACACAACAGAAGGAGCTACCGACACCGGAGATAAAGTTCTTTCCTGGCACCCAGGCCATTGGCATCTGACAGCTCTCAAATATTTTCCATGATGTGAATTGTCAGAAACTAGTTTGGGAGGATTTTTCCTTTACAGGCAGATTTCCTTATTTACTAAGAGGCCCGGTGCACGAAATTCATGCATGGGAGTGGGGGGACGGTCCCTTCAGCCCAGCCTGCACCCTCTCCAATCCAGGATCCCTCTCACAATCCTGGACCGCTGACTCCAAATCGCTCGCCTGCCTGCCTGCCTGGTCACCTCCTACTGCCCCCCCTGCCGGCCTGGTCATCCCTAATTGCCCCCCCCAACCAGCCTGGTCACCCCAACTGCACGGGATCCCTCTCACAATCCTGGACCGCTGACTCCAAATCGCTCGTCTGCCTGCCTGCCTGGTCACCTCCTACTGCCCCCCCTGCTGGCCTGGTCATCCCTAATCGCCCCCCCCAACCAGCCTGGTCACCCCACGCAACCTGCTGTTCAATCGTTTGGTTGTCCCTCACTAACCCCCCTGCCTGCCTGGTCATAGGCAGCCATCTTGTGAGGGTTAGTTTGCATATTACCTCTATTATATAGGATGGTAGGGGCTCTTTAGAGGTAGGCCTTGTTCAAGTCCACGTATACTCACCAACCTGTGGAGAGGGGAGGCACGGAAGGTTCCACATTGAATGGGATGATTCTCCTTTGACAACTGGAAAGTTCTGAGACTGTTCTTAATTTCTAATCATAAAAAGTGATCATGGACATAGTACAACTCGTTACACAAGCATCGGGCACTCATACAACTAACTTATCCCATGCACACTGACTGCCAGGTGTGGGGAGCGGAGAATGAGAAGGACACGGGGAACCCAGGGCTCGGGTGCATACGGACGACACGGCATCTAGAACGCTATCGGGCACGTTACCAAGCATTGACATCTTGGGAGCAGCTGCTGGGGACTCAGGGAAGTTGTGGGAAGACACAGGTTTTACCGTAGGACAGGCATAAAACTCAAGTACTCATCAAATGCTTGATTCACTCAACCATTCCACAAGCAAGGCCTCATCCTTAACAGGCAAATTCAGGCAAGCATCATGTCAAAGTTGCTTTCATTTTTTAAAGTCGCCATATAATAAAAATGCTACAAACCCCAGAATAAATATCTTCAAGTTACCAAAGCCAAACAGAGGTCTAGAAAAGCTTCTTGCTGTAAAAAGGCAACAGAGAGCTGATTACAACACAGACCAAGAAAATAAATGCACCCTGGTTTGTTGCTTGGTGGGCATGGGAGCTCAAGGAGGGAGAGCTGCCCTCCGCGTCCAGCCTCAGAGGGCTCTCCACAGAGTCCCCGTGGATCTGGCCAGTGCCAGTCGCCCAGTGCCCTGCCCTCGCTCAGTGCTACCTCAGGTCTGTGTTCCCCGTTCCGAGCCTCAGTGTCATCTATAAAGCTGGGTGCCCAGCCTGGTGCAGTAAACAGGCTGTACAGCCAAATCTGAGTTTATATCCTGGCACCACTTCATGTCCTGGCCATTGAGAGTGCCTCCCAATTTCTTCCTACCTAAAGTGGGGGTGGCAATAAATACTGTGCAGGGTAGGTGGGAGGAGTGGGTGAAAAGGTGTGGGGACCACATGACCCTCCACTGCAAACTCAAACTGAAAGTCAGCCCTGGGATGACGTCTCCCTAGAGGCAGATGCTGGTGGACAGCAAAGCCTGGACCAGAGCAGGTGAGGGCCGCTGGGAGAAACAGATATGGCCTGTGATCACCTGAGAAACACCTCCAGCCCCTGGAGGATCTCACATGCTTCTGCTGGGGGCACAAGGTGTGGTTAGGAGAGCTAGAAATGTTATCAACCAAAGCTGTCTTCTAGGAGGCAAGTCCTCAGGGCAGGACCGGGGCCCATGGAGACACCGCACTGATGGAGATCTCTAGAAAAAGAGGAAGGACTTGAACCGAGGTCTCCTGGCAGCTGGCATGGGCTTGTTTTTGTGGCCTCAATATTCTCATCTATCCAACGGGTAGATCAGCCCTGCCTTTGTCAAGGCTTCCCTGAAACCCAGTGACAGCGTGGGCAGAGAAGCACTTTGGACATTTTGAAATGCTGGGCAAGCATCGCCCCATCAGTGCTTACCACCCACCCTGCACCCCCAGAGGTGTGGGAAACATCCTCCGTTAATCAGGGAGAGCAGAGGGGCTTCTCCAAAGTGGGCAGGAGGTGAGGGGTCATCTCCACCTTTCACGCTCGTTCCTCCTGACTGACAGACACATCTGCCCTCAAGTGCCTCCTTGCCTGCCCGCGGGAGCATCGCTCCCTCTTCTGTGCAAGCCTAACCTGGGGCTCAATAAAAGGTAGCCCCGCCCACAAGCATTGGCATCTTGGGAGCAGCTGACGGGATACTGTGCACAGCTTGTCCGCATTAATGGAGGGATGCATCC